CAGGGAGAGGGGAGGAATGAGGGGCTTCTGTGTTACAATCATAGTAAATTTTAAAAGTGTGATTTGGGCAGCCCAGGTGGCTCAGAGGTGTAGCGCCGTCTTCAGCCCAGCGCGTGATCCTGGAGACATGGGGTGGAGTCCCACGTCAGGCTCCCTGCATGGAGCCTGCTTCTCCCTCTGCCTGTGCCTCTTTCTCTCTCTGTGTCTCTCATGAATAAATAAATAAAATATTTAAAATAAATAAATAAAAGTGTGATTTATCTGTATATATCAAAAGATCAGGATTGGTAAGCACCATACCTAGCTGACTACTGGTCCTCTGGGCATTTGCACTAGCTGAAGTTTCTTGCCAAAGATGGAAGGGAGGAGGGCACCGTGAGGGAGGAAGCCAAAGTCTAAGCCTGCTATCTTTATCACTAGGGCCTGCCCTGGACCTGCTGGGTAATTACAGCTCCGAAGGCCCTGGGACTCCTCTCTCCACCCTGTAATGACAGCCTAGCTTGTGCTGGCTCTGCTGTTTTGGGCCAGGTCCACAGGGGAGGCAGCTCGGGAGGGACATTCTATGGGGCCTGTCTTATTTTTTGCATGCACCACAATGGGCTTAAGGATTTGCAGGGCACTTTCTGGGGACCTACTTGGCTTTGTTCAAGGATGGCCCCTCAGAGTTCTGGGGGATTTTGCCAGATTCTCTTTCCCTTCTCCGGGGTCATGCACCAAGCTGGTCCTGGACCAGACTATCTGGGAGGCTCTATTTCTGAAGCAGTAGGGCCACCACTAGGTGGCCCCACTCAAACTTCACCTTCTACTCTGTTGCTGGTCTCGAAGCAAGTACTGGTCAATTGAGACATCTAATCTTTCCTTAATACCTAAAGGGAAGAAACTGGAATGGTAAAGGTGGTGGCCCCAGGGCCCAGTGGACAGCTGTATGCTGAATGTGCTGCAGTGTACAGATGTGTGTCAACATATACAAGGCCTTCTGTGCAGCATTGGTTGACCCGGGGCCGGGGGTGGTGGTGGTGGGCACTGCTCTGGGGAATTTCATGGTGGGACCAGGTGCTTATAAATCCGGACCATGCCACCGCAGCTGCTGTGTGGTTGCCAGGGTCTGCAAGAGTCATTAGCAGCCAGGGAGATCTCAGTGCCAAATGGTGTATCCTGCCCCACACCCCCCTTCCCCAGAGATCACAGGTAAACTGGGGGAAATCAGGGTCAGTCTGAGGAGGCCTCTGTTTAGAATGAAGCACTGTACCCACACACCTCATCCAGTTACCTATCCACCACATAGGTGGTATCCCAGTGTTTTTGCCATCCCTTCTGGAGAGACACCAGGTCCTTCCCTTGGGATGGTGGTGGTGGGCAGACAAGTCTAGTCTACCAAGTAACATCTATGATGGGGAAATGTGTTGGGGAAGAAAATAGAAATGACTGGGAGATGTTAATTTCATTTCCCAAGACACAGAAAATGCTAGAGCAGAAACAGTTCTGGGCTGTGGGTAAGGAGGGGGATGATAATTAACTCACTCATCAAGTGGCTGCAAATAAAAGGCTATGTGGGTCTAAGTGGGCCTGGGCTAGAGATTCAGACCTGAGAGTCATGGATTTACCCAGGCCTAGTAGTTCCTGGAAGGTATGACGGAATGTCATGGGTAGTGAGTTGAATGGTGGCCCCTAAAAGGATATAACCATGTCCTAATACCTGGCCCCTATGCATGTGAATTTATTTGGAAGGAGAGACTTTACAGATGTAATTAAGGATCATGAGATGAGATTATCTCGATTACTGAGGTGGCCCTAAATTCAATGGCAAGTATCCTATAAGAGACAGGAGAGAAGATTCAGGCACTAAGGAATGAATGGGGTCCAGGACTCTGAGGGCCTGTGGAGGAGTTAGCCAGGTCTTTGGGTACTGCAGTGCAGTGGAGCATTAAAGAGACATCTATCCTTTCACATAGTCGGCCAGTGTTTATTGAGCTCAGTTCTGTGATTGGAGCCAAGGATACGATCATGGGTGAAAATACACAAGTAATGTACTCCTGGAGGCCCTGGGCCAGTGGAGGAGGCACACATTAATCCAACGATCATTCAACTATATTAACTGTGGCAAGTGTTACAAGGCACACAGGGCACGAGAGGCTGTTAATAAAGGAGGCTTTGACCTGGCAAGGGACATGAGAAAAATCCTTCTAAGGGGATGTTAAGGATTTAAATGGAGGAGAAGGATGAATTTTCTAGACAAAAAGAAAAGCACGTGCAACGGCCTGGCAGTACAGTGGGAGAGAGGATGGTCAGTTAGAGGGATGAGAAGAAGGTCAGCGTGACTAGAGAAGTGAACAGGGCCCAAACCATGTGGGGCCTTACGGGCTACCTTCAGGATTTTTCCTAAGAGCCATGCCATTTACTAAGCTGTTTGTGGTGGGTTCAGACCTGAATTTTGAGGAGACTACCAGAGCTGCAGTGTGTACAGATTGGTGAGAGATTTAGGCGGTAAAAGTGAATGGACATGGGATCTTTGCCCCCAGAGCAAAGACAGGCTCTGGGGGCAAGGCAGAGAGGGAGATGCTGGGTGTGATTGCTAGGCTTCTGGTTAGGTGCCTGATGGGGACGGGAGGTGGCTCCTTTACTGAAGCAGGGAGTTGAAATGTGTGGAGAGGAGAAGGAGAGAGACCATGAATTCAGTGTTGAGCATGTTGTGGATGGAGTACCTGTGGACACTGAATTGGAGACGTAGACCCAGCAGGTAGTTCTGAGTCTGGAGCTTAGGAGTCAGGGTAAATATCGAGAAATATGTGAATCATTGATGTAAAGGAAGAAATTAGAGAAGAGGAAAGAAAGTAGGATGCTCAGGCCTGAGCTTTGAGGAACCCCCAAACCTTACTGACTAATGAGGAGAGGGGGAGGCGAGGATGTCCTAGGAGGGAAAACGCTGGGGGAAGTGGTGGCCAGACTGATGGGTGGAAACCAGGAAAATGAGCATTCCAGGGAGGTGGTGGTCAGATACTACTGGAGAGTCAAATTCTGACCCGGGTTTCAGCAGATGAGAACTAAAGAGAGGCTATTGAATTTTGACACTTGGAAGTTACAGAAAGTTTATTGAGACCTGGTTTGGTGTTGTGAGGACACCAGAAAGTCCAGCGTAGGAGCCTGAGGGGTGGGAGAAACGAGGACAAGGATTGACAGACTATTCTTTCTGGGGATTTGCTGGGATTGAGGAGAGAGACACTGCAGTCGTTGGTGGAGTTGAATGAGGGTTTCATTTTCACACTAGAGGCTTAAATGTATTTATAGGTCAAGGGAAGAATCCAGTTCAGGGGAGGGGGCAGTTGAATATTCAAGAGAGAGAAGGGATGATCCACAGGGCAAGCTCCTGAGAAGGGGGTAGGATTCGGAAATCTGGGCAGGCAGAGGGAGGCTCCTCCGCATAACAGGATGTAGCAGACGCAGTTAGCTTTCTGTTTGGTTTTAGTTGAGCTCTGGCTGGTGGCTGACGCAGGCCGGAACAGTGGCTGGTTCCCTATTTAATGTGTGCTGTGTGTAGTTCCATGCCTATGCTCGTGCCTTCCCCAGGTCTGGGCCGCCAGCCTGGACAGAGTGCCATAGGGAATATCCCCACACAGCCTGGGCGGAGGCTGGGCACCTCCCACTCTGGGCTAGCTCGCTGATGAGATTCTCAGACCGTGTTTCCCCTCATTCATGATCAGGAAGGTTCACAGAGCAGGCGTGGGAACCTGCTTGGCCGCCAGGGCCTCCTCCAACTCAGGCGGAGATTTGCGGCATCCCAGCCTCCATTCCCTCACACACCGGGCTAGGTAAATGAGGTGTCCACTCTTCTTGGCCCCTGTTGAATGAAGGGGTTTGGGCAAACCAAGAGTTGGCCCCAATATGCTACCCCCCACCTCAGCCTTTGGTTGGGCCGCTTCTCATCAACCCATCACCCGTAAGTACGTCACCAGGAGGAGTGCCTGACTCTGGAGCGGGGGACGGACAGAAACCCTTGGGGGAGCTTGGTCCTGTGGGGAGGACCCCAGGTCCCCCGTATTTTTCAAGGTCTTCTCCACTGGTCTGTCCATTCCACGGATGCCCGGGCCCCGGCCCCCCGGGGGCCCCACCCCGCCCTGTAACTCGGGAGTGGTGACGATGGGGAGGGGCTGCAGGAGCCAGTGCCCGGCAGGACCCCCGAGAAGATGCGCAGGAGCCCCGGCCGGGGAGTCCCCACGGCACCGGCGCGGGGTCGGGTCGCGCGCGGGCGCTTCTGCAGCCGCGGGGAGGCTGGGAGGCAGGGAGGGCCGGGGCCCGCAGGTGGAGCGGGGCGAGGGGAGGCGGGCGCCGAGTACGTGCGGCGAGCTGCCGGCGGCATGACGGGCGGGGAGCGGCTCCCGCCGGCCCGCAGCCTGCTCCCGGCCCCGGCCCCGGCCCCGGCCCCGACGCGCGCGGCTGCCCGCCCCCCCCCAGCCCCCGGGCGGCTGGCGGGGACGACCCCCGGCCGAGGCTGCCCGGGCGCGGAGCCGGGGCAGGGGCCGCCCGGCGTGCTGGGGGGGGGGGGGCGGGAGGTGGGGACGTGGCGACGGCTCAAGCGGGCGGGGCCGGGCCGCGGCGGGAGGCGGAGCCGCCCGGGGAGGAGGCGCCGAGCGGGTGGGCGCCGCCGCGGGAGGTGCCGGAGCCGCCGGGGGCCGCGCGTGTCCAGGTGAGCGCCCCGCCCGCGCGGCCGCCCGGGCCCGGCCGGGCTGGAGCGCTGGCGGGGCGGCGGGAGCTGGGGGCCGGGGGCGTTCAGTGCGGCCGCAGCCCAGAGCCCGCCGCCCTGTTTCTCCTCCCGCCCGGGTTCCTGCCCCGCCGCCCGCGTGCCCTCCCCGAGCTCGGGGCGGTGAGGTCAGCGGCGCCCTTCCTGCCGGTCCCTCGGCGGCCGGGCCGGGCCGGGCCGGGCGGGGCGGGGCGGGGCGGGGCACTCGGCCGCCCGGCCCCGGCAGGCTCCCCGGGAACGGGGGCGGAGGTTGGGGCGGAGGCGGGGCCGTCGGCCGGGCCCCCGGGGACCGCTTAGCGTGAGCGCGGGCCGCCTTGCTCCCTCCCGAGGGCTGGAGCCCCCGGCCCCGCGGGGTCCGGCTTGGTGCTCAGGAAACGGGCTGTCGGTTGAGAAACTCTTTTCCTCCCCTCTAGACGTCTGCTTCCAACGTGCGCTGTTTTTCCTTAGCAGCTGGGCAGACCTGTGGTAGCAAGTTAACGAATTCAAATAACGACGCCTTCTGTGTGTCGCGCAGCGAGGAGTTGCCAGCCCGCCGGGGCGGACGGATTGAAGACTGCGAAAGTCCAGACCCAGAACAGTGTGGTGAGTGCTGTGCTGGGAGGGAGTAACCAGGCTGTGGCTCTTTGGTAGAGGACAGGATGCTTCAGGCCAGAGGGCTTCCTGGAGGAGGCGGAATGGTGGAGGAAGGCTGAAGAAAGGGTAACCTGGACAGAGCAACGGTGTGTGTGAGTGGGAGCAGGCCGGGGCACTCCAGTAGAGGTAGGGGGGTTGAGGAAGGGACATTTAAGGGGGTAGCTGCCAGGTGGACCCTATGCGCTACGGTTTCAAGTGAGAGGGCAGTGCCTAGTACTGTGCTGTGCATGTGAGTGCTGCTCAGCAGGAGCACAGATCAGGGCACTTCCTACCTCGGGACAGTTGGGCCCCTGGCCTTGTATTCTAATGTGACATCTTTAAGATGGTGTAGCACATTAGTGTGCCTCCCAAGACTGAGACTGGTGTTTCTGCTGGAGAGTGCCAGTTAAAGCTTGTACCGCCACCGCGGCCTCCTCCTCCTCCTCTTCTTCAAGATTTTATTTATTTATTCATGAGAAACACACAGAGAGAGGCAGAGACATAGAGGGAGAAGGAGGCTCCCCCACAGGGAGCTGATGTGGGACTCCATCCCAGGACTCCAGGATCACGACCTGAGCCAAAAGCAGATACTCAACCACTGAGCCACCCAGGTGCCCCAAGCTTGTGCTTCTTACTATAAACCCTTTGAAGCCTGAGAGCCTTAGCCTTCTTGCAGGAGATGCTGGTTCTGAGAGCAAGGGTTGGGGGACATCATTTTGTAGCTGAGAGCATTCTCACCTGTCCCAGATTTTGCCAAAATCCACTGTCCACCTAAGAATTTGTAGAATGTTTTTGCAAGCTGCTGCTGCAAAAACACATATGGAACAACAGGTTCCATGATTTACTCCTCTGTTCAATGAACCACGATTTCCTTTGGCTGATGTTTAAACTGCCCCTGAAGTGTCCAGGGTACAGCCTCTCATTGTGATTCTGGGACTCAGAGCCGAGCCCAGCTTCTTCTGTTCATTTCAACATACTCACAGGAGCATGCTTTGAATCCTTTTTTCTTCTAGTTTTTTTTTTTTCTTATTCTCAGATGGCCAAGTATGTCCACTGTGCATCCCCAGCCAAGGAGGCCACGTAGCAAGGATGGAGTGAGTTGGCTGGCGGCCTCATCCCAGAGATGATGTCTTATTGGGCCACCCTCATTCTCCAAGAGCTCAGTAGACAGACATGATGACAACTAGGCATTGCCTGTGACTTGTGATAGACCCTTTTACCCAGTAGGAGGTTCTGAAATGGGCTGCCTGGGAAAATGTTTACTTAGCCACTGCTATAACCCGTACACAGCTGATATCTCTCTTCATTCCTTGAGTACCTACCCTGTGCCTGGCTTCTACTTGGAGCGTGCCTAGGGGTGGAATTAGGAGGGAGAGGAGAGGGAGGTGGTATTGACGCTATCCTTGCTGGTGGGTAACTCATAGTCTGCCTGAGATTGCTGCTTCAAGTTGGCAGCTGGCCATGTGGCAGAGGAAGAGCTCAAAGCGTGAATATTCATCAGAAGGAGAGACTGTGTGGGTGCAGCCCTGAGGAATGACTAGGATGAGGGAATCTGGGATCTACTCATTTCCTGATAGAGCCTCACTTTTACTCTGCCCTCCCACATCCATGGGAGGTTCTGAGGCTGGATGCAAGACCTTGGCTGATTTGTGGCCACGCTGGCTGATAGTACATTGGGTTGGTGGGTGTGTCCCTGGCTCTTGGGATCTGTCAAGAGTTTAATTTTATGCAGATGGTGATTGGCAGGAAATGCTGTGATGCAGGCACGTGCAAGCCTAGACAGAATGCTAGAGCGAGAGTTAAACTTTGATTGCTTGAATCTGGCAGTTTGGACTTTTGAAGTGTCCCAGAGTGGGACATCAGCCTGTCTTAGAGGGAGAGGGCTAGTGGTGCCTGTGGTCTCTGGGGTTTTTGCTGGGGATACGGAATGAAGGATATAGTTTTTATTCTCAGAAGGGGTGGAGGGAAATGAAAAATCTGGACTAGACTTCTTGAAGCCTTAGAAGAGAGTTTTTGTTCAAGTGGTGTCATTGCCAGCAAGAGGATTAAGTATATGGGTAGTGAATTCTCCAGCTCAGATTGGATCTGTCTGAGCTTGTTCACAGTCCAGTACCTGCTTTAACCCTTTTAGGAAGTGCTTGCTGGAGTATAGTTTGCTTTGTACCTGGCACTTCTGAGGACCAGGGTGTGGCTGAGATCCTGAGCTGAGGCCTGGTACTTGTAGGAACTTGGAACCAATACGTCAGAGGCATAGAAATACAAGAGATCCTAGAGTATTAGTCCAATCCCCTGCCTTTTACTGGAGAACTTTATTTTCTTGATGAGCTATAGAGCCAGTGATTGACCTGTTCCAGAGTTATTTTCCTGATGATCAATGTGCTGCATTATACCTGACTCTGCTCTCTCCTAAAGTAATATTTCATTTCTTTTGGTCCTTGTGGGATGTGGAGATTGCCCAATATCTGCTTGTTTTCATCTTCACTGTCCCCTAGACTGGACTGTATTCATTTCCAGGGATTAGCCAGGCAGCTGGCCACTTAAGGTCTACTGGTGTTCCTCTAGTACCCTTGGTGCTGATATGTGGAATAGGTGTGCTTGATGGTAGGCTGCACACTGATAATTGTCATCTCATTCAGTCCTCACTGTGAGGTATAGGTCCTAATGTTATCACCATTACATAGATGGGAAACAGGCTCAGAAAGATCTGGAACTTGTGTAAAGTCACAAAGCTAGGAAGCGATGGTAGAGCTGAGATTGAAGTTGGGATTATCTGACACCTGACTATACAGGACTACCTTGCCCTGAGCTGGGCTGATTGGTCATTTCTGAGTGCTGTGATGTCTGAGGCTGGAGTGACTGCTCTCACCCGAACTCAAGGCTCCATGTTGCTGTTGACTTTTTGGTGGGGGGACACCTGGGTGGCTCAGCAGTTGAGCGTCTGCCTTCGGCTCAGGGCATGATCCCAGGATCCTGGATCGAGTCCCACGTCGGGCTCCCTGCATGGAGCCTGCTTCTCCCTCTGCCTGTGTCTCTGCCTCTCTCTGTGTGTGTCTCTCATGAATAAATAAATAAATCTAAAAAAAAAAAAAAAAGACTTTTTGGTGGGGATCCAGCCTGGTTTGTTATGGAGCTGATTTGTGAACCATGATAAAGTCCTTGACCTGGGCAGGCCTGCTCGTCGTTTTGGGAGACCCTTCTGTTGTAAGACAGTAGATGTTACTGAGTAGGATTGAATGTTTGCGATACCTAGTGGAAAGTGTGTTTTGGGTTTGAGTCTCAGCTCTGATACTGATTTGTGGTAGCATGTCAGGTATGCAGGAAACTCTTGCTCAGCCTTATTTATCTAGTTTTTATATCTGAAATGGAGATGATTATCTAGTTTACAAGGTTTTGGTGAGGATTAGATGCTAGAATTGAAAGATTTTTGGAAATATGAATAGTGGTTAGCTTAGTTGCCAAAAAAGCAGAACCTGGGGCAGTGCTTAATGCTTTATTGGAGGGTGGAATACAGCAAGGGTAAGGGAAAAGAAACTTGAAAGAAGGATGGGAAGCACAAGGTAGTGCTTTAGCAAGCTGGTCAGTTTGTACAGAGATGTAGTAGTTGTTTAGCCATGTGGGTTATCTCTGGGTGAGCTCTGCAGAAATTCCATGCCACGGAACAGTTCAGCAGTGGAGGCCTGGTGAAGGAATTTATCTGCTGGCCTCCTCCTGTCTTCTGTCTTCATTGGTCAAAGTTGCCTCCTCGGAGCTAGCTCCCTCTTGCTCCTTGGTTGCACTAGCAAGGTCCTCCAGTAGCCACAGGGAAGGCCAGTGTGGTACTTCTGAAAGTAGCAGGAGGAGCCAGAGATATGGGGCTTGCCCACATGCTTCCACTGAATCTGAGGCCCAGGAAGAAACCCAGGGCCCAGAAGACTGGCCTCTTGGTGAGGCCAAGAGACTGTGAAGTGGTACATGGGAGGCATTCTGTAGATGGCTTTGTGGATTTTGTCCTCATGTGTAGTCCCTTCTAATGAGTTACTCTCACTTAGATTGCCAAACCTCTGCCAAGACCCTGAGTGAAAGTCCAGTTTGGTCTTTACATGTTGATTTTGCCTGGCCACTGAAGCAGGAGACTTTGTGGTTTTGATGGTACCCAAGTGGGAAGTACAAATCAATGTGTTCCTGTACCTGATAGAGAAGTATAAGGATGGATGCAGATGAACATCTAGGTTTCTGTGAAGAAAGTCCTCAGTTAAGAATATTTTCCAGGGAAGGTAAGCATTTGGAGCTAGGAAATGTAGACTCATGAGATAGAGCTAGAGAGGGCTGGAGGGCCATGTCATATAGAGTCAGGAAGGCCTTTGGGGGCTAAGGAGTTTAGACTTTATTGCAGGGGCAGTGGAGAGAGAGACCAAACGAGGAGCTGCAGTAAGCCATGCTGGCAGCTTTGTAGAGCAGAGCTGGCAGGGGGGGCGGGGGAGGGCTGCTGAATGAGAGGAGAGAGCAATGCCGACAGGGGCCAGGATGGCTGTGGGGGGGAATTGGTGGTGGCTCACACCAGGGTGATGACTGAGGCCTGACGTCAGGTGAGGAGGGGTAGCTCCCATTCTCTCCAGAGGGTGAGCTTCTAAGCATGAATGGACATCCACGTGCCTAAGTTCTGGGGCCTCCAGAACGCACAGGTCCTCTGGGCTATCATTCCAGAGTTGGCTACACCACTTGGAGGCAGGGCCACAGGGGGGGCGCCCTTTTTAGAGAGCTTTTGCTCCCTCACAGAAGGCAGGCAGCTTCTTGATGAGTGCCAGGCAAGACCTGCTTGTACTCAGCAAACCCATGTTCTGTCTCTAGGCTGTTAAATACATTGTTAAAAGTCAAGCTGTTGCGTTTGGGTTGCAGCTGGGAGCTTGGCAGGGATCGGTGCCTGATGAGGTAAGGGGAGAAGCTAAGGACGCTGCTGTTTTGCAGCTGGAAACTTTTTATGGCCATTTGGCCAGATTGTAAATGTCCTTTCCAAAGAGCAGGCTTGTTGGGGCTCTGATTGTATGTCTTGGAATTTGCCTGTGCTTAGAAACAGTGCTGGTCACCTGGTGAGTGAATCACTGTCATTGGGGTGTTGGTGGGCTTTGGAGGACCTCTCTGTTGGACCTCTCTGTTGGGGTCCAAACTTGGGACTTAATATGCATACAGTATCCATTCTTAACAATCCATAACAATCCATTGAGTGGAAAAAATGTAAAATCTTCTGTTGTTGTTTCTAACTTGAACAAGTCTGTGGTGAAGCATTGTTTGTTGGGTACATGATAACGGGCCAGACATTGTTCTAAACCTGGGATGCATCACAGATAAAAGTATTGGTTTTTCTCCTCAGGGTTGGTGCCACTTTGTGTTTTGTTTTTCATAAAAGGAGATTTGACGTTGCCCATTTCCTGGCCTATTCTGGAAATCCAGAAGGATTTCTGAGGGGTCCTGGAAGGGCTTTTAAAGGCAGCACTGGACACTTCGTGGGGGTGCTGGGTATGCACACACATTCCCACCTGCTCTGTCCTAGGTAAGCTCTGGGTACAGTTATGAGTTTGGATTGGGGGAAGGCAAGTAGGTGCTTGGCCTTTCCCACACTGTGGCACAGTCCTTCTTGAATGCTGCCTCTTCCCAACCTGTCTTTGATAAAGTAACTTTTTATACAAAGTCTTTAGTGTTCAGGGTCAGGATCAGGAGAAATGTTGGGACTCTAGGGCATCCCTGCCTGAGGTGGTGTTCTAAGGGCTGCTTGAGGGTACCTAGCTCTCTGACCAGTGAGTTGTCTTCCCCTCCTCCCAGCAGAGCAGGACTTTGCAGGCTCTTGACAAGCCATTTCCCAGAACCCCATCTGTGATTCTTTGGGGCTCTGCCTCCAGGGCTGGTATTCGTGGATGGGCTTAGTCTAAGCCAGATAGTGCATTCCAGAGAAATGACAGCTGGTATTCATGTAATGAAGGAACCTGGCTGCTTTTTCTTGAATGCTATAAGGCCTGAACCATGGTCAGTATCACCAGGAGGATTTGAAAGGAACAGAGAGGCATCTCCCTGCCTTGAATCTGTTACCTGATCTCTGAAGAGGTATACCACTGAAGCTGGTGACACAACAGGGGAGAAGCGCTGGTCTCCCCTTCTTCCAACCGTGTCTGGTCTGGTCTCTTGCCTGGGCCCTGCTCTCCCACCATCCCAGCCTGACAGGCAGTTGGCTGGCCCCTCAGTTTCCACAGATACTCCTTGCCCCTGGATTTTACTCTTCCTTCTTTTCACATATAGAAGATGCTTTCCTGAGTTAGTTAAACCTCTTGAGGTATGAGGAACAGCACTACTTCCTATAGAAGGGGCTTATGTAAGCAAGAATAGAGGCCTTCAGGAATCCTGGGCTGGAGATGCAGAGGTTGTAAGGCCTGGGAGCAGACCTGTGGCTGGGACAAGGAGGACCTGTGCTCCACCTCAGGGCTGATGGTCTGCTCACCTTCTCTTGGTGACTTGCTTTCCTCTGCTGCCCTAACTCCATAATCCATCCCTTAGCCTGATACTCTGTGCCCTGTAGCAGGTTCAGGCCCAAAAGATCTTGCTTTGTGTATCTTGGCCTCCAACAGCTAGGGCAGTGATGAGCATGTTGATGGCTTTGCAGGCATTTGGCAGGGATATGAACAAATGTAGCCATTCGCTTATTCTCTCCTCTTTCTGATAGAGGAATCTGTTTGGGGTTGGGCCTTGTCGTTGGGCTTTTCTGAGCCTAACATGGAACCACAGTGGATTGAAATTTCTTCAGAGGCAAGGAGTCGTAGACCTGACTGTATGATCACCCATAGTAGGTGAAACCCTGATGAACTGGCATTACCTCAGATTTGAAATTTTGTCAGGTTAGGCTTACATTTTGGGGAGAAGCATTTGTATTTTGTTTGTTTGTTTTCCTTGTTTTTTCTTCATATATTTCTGGTGGGGCTTGGCTGAAGTAGAACAGGAAGAGAAGGGACTGGGAGAGCAGGCTGAGGTGCTTGCTAGGCCACATGGCTGAGCTGGGGCTCCAGCATGCTCTGGGCTGCGTGGCTGAGCTGGGAGACCATGTCCAAAGCTTCCGTTACGTACTTAGGTCCGCTGCCAGTGGGGCTTGCCCCAAGTTGTGCCTGCTGCCTTCATGGCTGAGTCTGGCTATTTCTAGGCTGACAAGAAGACAGAAACTGGTCTTGCATCCCTGTCGACAGGCCAGCCTGTCCCAGGGTTTTGGCTTTGTGTGGCCAATTCATTTTTGAATCCCAGGTGCCTAGCTCAGTGAGTAGCCTGTGTGGATCTTCAGTAAATATTTTTGAATGGTGCCTTGCCAGTGAGAATGGTGTCTGCTGTGGTGGCAGACAGGAAGAGCAGTGTCTGCCCAGGGTTCCTGCTCCCCAGCCTGCCTTTGCTGTGGCCAGGTGCAGACTGGCGGGGGGCAGTTTTATTCCCCTTCTGGCCAACCATCTGCCATACACCTCATTTGGGGTGTGGGTTCCCTGGAGCCTATTGTGCCAAGTTCTCTTTCTGTTGTTGTCTCTCCTACACTTTCAGACTTCTTGTAGGCACGAGTTACGTGTTACCTGTAGGTCTCCAGCACCTGGCCCCATCCTGACATGTGTGTTGGAAAGAAAGACAGAAATAAGACAGGCAGTCTGGGAAATGAGAAGGGGTGGGGCAGTCTTGGACTGACTCTTGGAATCAGAGGTGACAGTCTCCCACACCATTCAGCCTTTCCGTGGTTGCTGGCAGTTACTGGGAATCTGGAGGATGCGAGCTCTCCCACTGGGCCGGCATTGAGCACATCACTGGTTGCACATCCTGGCCTCTTTGCACTGCCGATGCAGGATATTCTTAGTTTCTGTGTCCTAGTCAGAGTTTTGGCATGTTTGGCCGTATGTGTCTGTGTGTCCTGTGTATGTATCTCCTCATCTAAGTTGCTTTTTTCACCCGTTGATCCAGTGGCTGTCACTGAATGCCTTGCGGACCCTACTCTCTGTGACCATGAAACGCTGGGTGTCCACATTGCTGGTGGCCTGGTTTGGTGTCCTGGGCTGTGTGCAGGCTGAATTCTTCACTTCTATTGGTATGTGCCAACAGGACTGTCATCTACCTGAGCAATCCTTGGCTCAAGTGCCAGGGAATGTCACCACCTGAAGCCTGTTCTCACTCAAGGTGGGATGGCTCATCCACTGGTTTTGGCCAGTTCTGGGGAAAGTGGGGCTCACAGAGCTGCTGTTTCCCCTTCTGAGGCCCCGATGACCTGAATGTCCTTCTTGGGAGCCACCTGTCTCAACTAGGTTTCCTCCCTGAGAAGTGCAGGTTGCTCCTGGGCTTCCTGGCCTCTCTGACCATCTCTGTTCAGAGAGTGGTTCTGAGCAAAGAAGCCCTTATGATGTCCATGCCTTGGTGCCATGACCCACCTGGGTGCCAGTAGGTGAATGAGAATTAGGGCTTCTTCCTTTAGGTACTCCTATTGCACTCATCTCACCATCCCCTTGAAGCCTCCATCTCTGTCTTATTGAAGCTGGGGTCCAGGACCGTGGGAGTGCCTAGGTCCCCTTAAACTCCCAAATCCTCAAGGTCCCAAGAGAAGTGATATGCCAGTGGCCCAGAGGACTTGTGCTGTTGTGCCTCAAGGAAGGGGGATGGACGTCCCTCATCCACTTCTTACTGCCCTTTTTTCTCTCCCTACAGGGCACATGACTGACCTAATTTATGCAGAGAAGGACCTGGTGCAGTCTCTGAAGGGGTACATCCTTGTGGAGGAAGCCAAACTCTCTAAGATTAAGAGGTATCCGATGTCCTAAGTCCCCCACCCTCACCCCCGAACCCATCCAGGGTGCCCTTTAGAGAGCAGTGAGGGGTTGCTGTGGAGGTTACTTCATGCCAGTCCCCCAGAGTGGCTCAGGGCATGGGCTAAGGACACCTTAGTTTCCCTATTTAAAAGCCTTTTTATGTACATTGGGATTCTCACCTCTTCTCTAGATTAAGGAACTGCAAGTGTCAGTGAGGAGTTGCTGTGTTCATTTTTTATTGCCTCTCCACAGAAAAGAGTCCTGAATCTCACCAGCAAAATTACTGGTCAAGACTGGTATGTGTGGTGGGGCGTGTTAGTCTTCCTTTTCCTCTGTTTCCACAGCTGGGCCAACAAGATGGAAGCCTTGACCAGCAAGTCAGCTGCTGACCCTGAAGGTTACCTGGCTCACCCCGTGAATGCCTATAAACTTGTGAAGCGGCTCAACACAGATTGGCCTGCACTGGAGGATCTGGTCCTGCAGAACTCGGCTGCAGGTGAGGACTGGTGAGCAGGTGCTTGGGAGCCAGAATGTCCCTGTGCCTGTGTCTGGGGAGTGTGTGTCTGAGTTTGTCCTGGGTGTGGGGGTTTTGGTGGGCACGGGCAGTGTGGGAATATGCACACTGCCACTCCTGTAGCCATCTCCCTTCTCTGTAGGGACAGCATTTGGCTGTCTTTGTTTTTAATATGTGAGAATAATCAGTTCTGGCCTTTTCCTAGTGTTTTCATTTCCTTTTTTAAAAAATATTCATTTATTTATTTTAAAAAGATTTTATTCATTTGACAGAGAGAGAACATGCACACAAGCAAGGGGAACTTCGGGCAGGAGAGAGAGAGAAGTAGGGGGGCTACTCCCCCCCCTCTGCAGAGCAGGGAGCCCAGTATGGGATCAGGGATCAGGGCCTGAGCCCAAGGCAGACTCCCCTGAATGAGCCACCCAGGAACCCCTTAAATACTTCTTTAAATAATGCTTTACTAATGTGTTCTTGTAGAAAAGTTAGAAAACAAAATAATGTAAGAAAATTAGAATTTTTTTTTTTTAAGATTTTATTTATTTTAGAGAGAGCATGAGAAGGAGAGAAGGGCAGAGGGAGAAGAGGAGAAGCAGACTCCTTGCTGAGCAGGGAGTCTGATATAGGGCCCAATGCCAGGACCCTGGGATCATGACCTGAGCTTAAGGCAGATGCTTAACCAACTGAGTTACCCAGGCACCTTGAAAATTAGAATTCTTAACCAGTTGTCTAGTGATCAGCGCTATTAAAATTCCAGTCTTCCTACACTTGAATTTACATTAAAAGAAAAAATGGACCCATTCATATTTTGCAGGAAATGCAGACTCACTTGCTTTGAGGGACCAAATGAATTAACAAAAAGTGAGTCAGGCTGGGTGATGGGGCCATTGTAAGCCAGGGATTATGGGTCTCATCTAAATCCATTCCCATTCATAACTTTTAGAGAAAACCTATCTGTAGGCAGATTTGTGCCATAAGCATATAGTGTTTTCCTGAAATTTTCAGCTTCTTTATATGTCCATTAAATGTTATACGACATGACTTTAATGGCTGTATGGTAAAGTCATACAGATATAGTATAAAACTGGTCAAGTTAGTGGATGTGGGGTTTGTAAATTATCAGCAATTGTGCATATACATCTTTATGCCTTGCCTTTGATTATTTTTCTTAGTTTAAATCCCTAGAAGTGGTATTTGGAAGTCAGAGTATGAAATTTTTCAAAGTTTTAACTGTGCTTAATGTCTTTGACTATGCTGGTATTTTTCTATGCTCTAACATTTTCCTCTCAGCAGGAGATGGTCGGGCAGGCATGTTTGCGGGCCCTCCTGACTCCAGCCTGGGGCTCAGCCTCCTGAACTCAGTGACTCTTCTCCCCAAGTTGGGAGTTCTGATTAACTTCAGACTAGTTGTCTCTGGCTGAGGCAGTTCAGCCCATGTGGCCAGACTGGGCTGGGCTTGGCTGGGGGCAGGGTGGCCTCTGGGGAGGGATTGGTGAGTTCAGCCAGGCTGGAACTGTGCCCAGTGAGCTCACCGCCTCCAGAAGCCATGGCTGCCTTTCCCAGCCCCCTGTCTTCCAGCCTGGGGCTGTAGCTCAGAACTGGCTGTTCTGCGGGCAGGCACTGCACTGCAGTAGAATAAGCCTGCCTTCCCGGATGACCTTCCGCTCCCTGGTCTTGCTTTCCACCACCAGCTCCCCCGCCCCCCCCAGCCCCTGTCAACATCTGGTTCTTTTAGAAAACCTTATAATTAACAGAAGGCAGACAGGACTGGCCCAGAGAGCAATAGGTTGTTTTTACCTCCGACTTGAGATGAGGGGGACTTGCTGACGGTGTGGCTTTTTCTGGGGGCATGTTTTCTTTTTCCTGAATTCCAGACTCTTTAGAATCCCTGACTGTGCAGCCAGGAGAAAAGCAGGATTACAGCTTCTTGGTGCCTGGGTTTGGCATGGTTTGAAGTGGGTGTTTGAGCCTGAGGTCCTGAGAGTAGGTGGCTGTGGGTGCTGCTGCCCTGAGGAAGAGGCCAGGAAAGAAGGGCCCATGGCATTCCCCTCCCAAATTCTTAGTTCACAGTCAGAATTAAAACCCCTGAATCAGTTTGAGAGGGCCTGGCCTCCACCTGGAGACCTGAGATTGTAAGAGTGCATGTCTTGCTTCAGAGCCAGGGCTTGGAGTCCTCGAACAGCCTCCTTGGATATTTCTTTGGTCAGGGACTAGCCTAGGTTCCAGGCTATGGTCTTGAACACTACATTCAGAGAGCTCATGCCTTTTGAATTCATTGCAGATTTGAGTAGTAGGAGTCCTCTTGAGAGCAAGAACAAGAGCCAGTGTGATCTCTCAGGGTACCATGCTGGGCTTGAGCAGCCTACCTCAGTGCTTGTTCTGGCCAGATGGTCCCCTAGTCCTTAATCTGGGGGGTGGAGACAGCACCAGATCCCCTCGGAGACTGTCATCATTACCTTTCTGGATGGTAAGTGCCAGTGGTCAATAATGAGTGTCTAGCTAGGTTCCCTGAGTTAATCACCTCTGTCACTTGGGCTTCTTGACCTGGAATGTGGGCCGGAGGTCTGTTTTTCTGCCCCCCTGCCCCCTGCAATGATCCTGGATCAAGGTTTTTCATGTGATTCATTTTCCATTAAGTGATCAACAGATCCTCCCTGAGTCCTTTTCAATTACCATTCCTGTCCTCTGTCCCTTCTATCTCCTCCAGATCTGACTGAGCACTTTGGAGCCAAGACTCTCAGACCTGCTAGCCAGTTTGTGGGGCCATCTTTGTTCAATTCCAAATGAGTAGTACAGGCATTCCGTACAGTGAGGAGGAAGAAAGAGATCTCCATGGACTGGAGTCATCAGGGAGGGCTTCTTGGAGGAAGGGGAAACAGCCTTTGAGGGAAGGGGCAGGGAGAAACTGTCCCGTGGATACCTTTCTGATCCCAGGTGGAACTGTGCCCTTGGATCAAGGGTAACTTCCTGTTCTCACTCTCATTTGGAAGGTTTTATTGCCAACCTCTCTGTGCAGCGGCAGTTCTTCCCCACGGACGAGGATGAAATGGGAGCCGCCAAGGCCCTGATGAGACTTCAGGACACATACAAGCTGGATCCAGACACAATTTCCAAAGGGCAACTTCCAGGTACCTTAACCACCTCAGGCTTTGCCCATCCAGTGCATGTGTGTCTCCTATGGTGTCTGGACAGGGCTGGAGCCACTGCCATCTTGTGGTCTCTACTCTCAGGCACACCATCACTGTTGGCAGTGATGCTCTTTTGGGTTTCCAGTTGGTGCCAGGCCCGTCTTCCCCCACCCCCTACTGCGCCATGACAGCCATCTCCCCTCAGCTCCTTCCTCTTCCTCTCACACCTTCTCCTTTCTCTTCTAAGAGAAGCCCAAGGCTGCTGCTCAGGACGCCCTGGCCTCTGCCCCCAGAGCACCACTTAGATCTGCTTCTAGACCTGCTTCTGTCCCCACACCCTCTGACTTCTTTTTGACAAAGGCTGATCTCTGGATTTAGCCCTGTGTCCTGTGTGTCGTCAGTTACAAGCCTCTACCCATTTCATTCTTGGCCTACCCCACTTGGCTCTTCCCCCTGAGCTCACACACACCTTGGGTTCTTTTTTTTTTTTTTTAATTTTTATTTATTTTTGATAGTCACACAGAGAGAGAGAGAGAGAGAGAGAGAGAGAGGTAGAGACACAGGCAGAGGGAGAAGCAGGCTCCATGCACCGGGAGCCCGACGTGGGATTTGATCCCGGGTCTCCAGGATCGCGCCCTGGGCCAAAACCAGGCGCTAAACCGCTGCGCCACCCAGGGATCCCACACCTTGGGTTCTTAATCATCTTACAAACCCCTCCCTCAGGATCCAAGGCCCTTTGAGTCTCTGCTGTTCAATGATCTCTTGCTTAGCCTAACCTGGCTAGGCTGCTGGATAGTCATCCACACTCTTCACTTCCTTGCTTGCTCTTCACTTCCTTGCTTCCCGGGTCCTCCTGAACACGCAGAGTCTGGCCTCTTTGCCCACTTTCCAATGATCCTGCCTCTGCCAAGTCACCAGTGGCCACTCAGCTGCTAAGCCAGTGGATGAGTTTCAGAGATAATGTTCTTTAATTTTTCAGTAGTATTTGGCACCTTCATTGTCCCAGTCTTCCTGATGTTCTCTCTCCTTTGAATTCTGGGGCACTGATCTCTATTGCTTCTCTTTTCGGCTCTCTACTATCTTTTTTAAATTTATTTATTTTTTTTTTTTTTAAACAGGCCCCTTTCTCCTCATTGCCTCAGTATGCTTACAAGAAGATATATTGGGTTTGGGGGACTGTTAGAGGTCACTAAACCCAGTGGTTCAGTTAGACCCTATTAGACTTTGGATGCTACTTGCCCATGGGGACCCCGGAGGAGGCACAAACCAGGAATCACAAAGTGTGGGAGAAAGAGGCATTGTCTGTCAGCTTGTCAAGGCCTGGAGTTCTAGTGCTGAGGAGTATGGTGAGCCAGTGGGAAGGGAAAGAGTTTATACTTCTGCCTCAGTCATGTTTGATCAAGCCAGGTCATGGAGCCAGTGAGAGAAGGCCCCTCAGGGCACCTGCAGGGTGTGTTCACCTTGTAGCTGTAGAGTGATTGTTAGGGTGAGGGAGACACACTCAAGCATTGACCTTGTACATTCAGTTAACAGACTCTTGCATGTCCTGGAGAGGCAGGGAGGGGTGGAAGGGAGTTAATCCCTAGGATTCCCTTACATAGAATTTTCCCTAAGCACCTTCTCCAGGTGAGCCCAGCCATTTCCATCACATGTATATGGATGACATCCACATCTGTGTTTCCTCTCAAGGCTTATCGCCAAAGCTTCCAACCAGTGAGGGCAAATGCCTGTGGGGCATCTCTACTTGGGTGTTCTCTGGGCTCCTCAAAGGTCACATGTTTCAAACTGAAATCCTCCATTGCCTTTTGAAATGTCTACTCCCCCCTTGCCTGAGCAAAAGTACCTCCATCCGTTGGCAGCCCAAGTCAGAATCCTGAGGCCTATGAATTCTACCTCCTCAAGGGGCCTGCTTTTTCATCGTCCCTGAGGAATACACTCATGGTCCCTCTCATATTACCCCTACCCTAAATCCTACATTTTTCCTATAGGTAGCATATTATATTTCATCCTTCTTGACTTAAGACTATCTTCAAGGTCACTTTCCAGTGTTGAGCTCATGGCAAATAACCTGTGGTCCGTCACAGGACCTGCAGAATTGATGCTCAGCAATGTCCCCGCCACCTACTGGTCAAAGCTGGCAATGCAGTCTTGGCTCTGACCTCTCTTGGCATCTGTCCCACCATTCTTGCTCTGTTTGTGCTACCTCTTAGGTCCTTCTCATTGTTACTCTTTGTCCTATCTCTCTAGGTGGTCTGTAAGGTTCTGGCTTTAGCCACTTTCTCTACTGTTTCCTCACACTCTTGCTGGAACTGCTTGTACTCATCCATGCCTTTAGCTGCCACTTAAGTTCTGTTTTTTTTTTTTTTAAGATTTTATTTATTTATTCATGAGAAACACAAAGAGAGGGTGGCAGAGACATAGGCAGAGGGAGAAGCAGGCTCCATGCAGGGAGCCCGAGGTGGGACTCGATCCTGGGACTCCAGGATCACACCCTGAGCCAAAGGCAGATGTTTCACCGCTGAGCCACCCAGGCATCCCAGTTCTGTTTTTTATATTCAACTGATTTTTCTACCTTGCAGACTCATATGGCCAGCTGCCCAGCAGACATCTCCTCTGTGGCTCACAGGACCTTCATATTCTCTTGTATACTACTATTTCTTGGGCTTCTTCACAACATGGGAGAAGGGGAGTCTGTGGCCAGGACGTTGGCTGCAAACCCCAGTCCAAGGCAGGCCCAGCCTGGTTGTGCTCACTTTGAAGTGCATGGTGTAAAGCCCTGACTCTGCTGGGATCATGCCCCCCTCCCCATGACGCAGGCTTCCTCAGTGTGGGAATCATTCTCCCTAGCCCAGAGGCTCTTTATTTTATTTTATTTTTTTCCAGAGGCTCTTTAGAGCCTGACTGTTTGCTTCTCCTGCTGCAGGAACCAAGTACCAGGCCATGCTGAGTGTGGATGACTGCTTTGGGATGGGCCGCTCAGCCTATAATGAAGGCGACTATTACCACACAGTCTTGTGGATGGAGCAGGTACTGAAGCAGCTCGATGCTGGAGAGGAGGCCACCACATCCAAGGCCCAGGTGCTAGACTACCTGAGCTATGCTGTCTTCCAGTTGGGTGACCTGCACCGTGCCCTGGAGCTTACCCGCCGCCTGCTCTCTCTTGGTAAGGAAGTTCTAGGGGAAGGTCAGAGCCAATGCGGGGCTGGACAGAGAACTGGTCATTCTATTAGCCACTACTTGGCCCCTCTCCTGGGTTGGAGTCTGGCCAGTGACAATGCCTTACTGCTCTCAGGCCCATTCTAGCTGCCAGTTAGCTCTTTATTTGCCTCATTTCTGGCCTTAACCCTTGCCCAGTTGCTTATGGATACACTCTGACCTGTGGCTCTGCACACTCCCTTTTAAAATAGGAATCCAGTGCTGCAGTGCATCTGCCGCTCTGCAGGGTGAGCCTTCACATTGTCAGAAGGAGCTCAGGAGGCAAGTTGTGCTACAGAATGACTGCAGTGACCATGGCCTGACCCCTTAGAGGTCTGAGGTCTTCCTGGGAACTTGCTATAGCATTAGTATTTTAAGTGTCTTGTGGTGTTGGACTGAAGTAGATTAAAAGCCCTGTTCTTTATTCAATTTTTTTTAAAGATTTTATTTATTAATGAGAGAGAGAGAGAGAGAGAGAGGCAGAGGGAGAAGCAGGCTTCATGCAGAGAACCTGACGTGGGACTCGATTCCAGGTCTCCAGGATCGCACCCTGGGCTGCAGGCGGCGCTAAACCGCCGAGCCACCCAGGCTTCCCAGCACTGTGTCTTTAAAACCTATCTGTCCTATCCACCTCTTACTAATATATGGGATTGTCATAATCTGGAATTTCACAGATTAGCAAAGACTTTCTTTTGCTGTTGCTTTTCACGGGACTTGAGTCTGATATGATGCCAGCTAACATAAAAGTGTCCTGCAAGACTGATATGGGAAGAGAGCTTTGTAGATGCTATCATGTTAGTAAGAGCCATGTCCTGGGAGTCAGGACGCCTAGCTTCCTGTTCAGTATAACCTTAACCTAAATCTATTAATATCTTCGAGCCTTGGTTTCCTCATCTATGGAGTGGCACAGTAATCCTGCCAAGCTTGCTCCTTTGTGTTGGGAGCCCACACAATGAAGCTATGGCATTGTCACGTGGCTGTTCTTTTTGCCAGAATTTCAGCCTGCCTTCTCATTGTGGCCAGCATGTGATGTGGTCACCAGTAATGGATGTACTCTCGAGGATGGATGAACTGACTCACAGCCAAGTGTGGAGGAGGCGGCAGGAGTCTGGGTGCTTTTCTCAACCTGTGCCCTTAGGCCCTCCAGGGAGGTCTGAGAGGAGAGTCCCCTGTGCGGCTGGCTAAGCAACCCCCTCTGTTGTTCCCTTCCCATCTGTGACAGAGTGGGGAGACCCATATTGGCTTTTCTGCTCTGACCGGTGAGCCCTGGTTAGGTGCCGTGGAAAGCAAAATGCTGTGTGCAAATGAGCTGCTGGGAGATAAAACCACTTACAGAGTAATGTCTTTAAATGACCTAACAGATGTTTGTGGTTTCCTTTCCCTTCTTGTTCTCTGCTCTTTCTAAGACCCAAGCCATGAACGAGCTGGAGGGAATCTGCGGTACTTTGAACGGTTGCTGGAGGAAGAAAGAGAAAAAATGTTATTAAATCAGACAGAAGCCGGACTGGCCACGCAGGAAAGCATCTATGAGAGGCCTGTGGACTACCTGCCTGAGAGGGATGTTTATGAGAGCCTCTGTCGTGGGGAGGGTGTCAAACTGGTGAGACACATGGCCAGGTCCCACATATGGATCTAGACTTTGGCTCTGGATGGACAGATTTGGGGAGGATTTTTCTCTGTGTATAGGCTGTTTCCTCAGTATCTTGTCCAGTTCTTTGTAGTGTCTGGTGAGACTGATGGGTGGGTGTTTTCTGAGGTGTAGGATGGGATATTGTCTTCCCTGATGTCCCAGGCAGAGTTCAGATCCTCTTAAGTTATTTCTGAGTTCCTCTCCCTACCCCAACATGCCTACCTTCTGCTCAACTCCTGCTGTGAGGAAAACCATGGGTGTGGATGTGCCCCATGGGAAACTGTGGTCTTTGGTTAAGATGCAGCAGTACCTAACGGCTTAGTCTTAGTCTCTGGTGTCACTGATTTTTGAAAGTCCTTGGATCCTAGTGCTTCCTCAGGAGGCTCAGGTATGAGATGATTTCTGGGCCTTGTCCCTGCATATCTACATTCCTCCCAGTGGCTTCTCCACCTAGAATGGCCTCTCTCATGCCTCAGCCCTTCTGACTTACTCATATCTCTGTGAGAAGGATCAGGGATTATCCTGTGCCACAGGACCTTGCAAGAGAGAAAACATGACATGATTTATAGGGTATCATTTCTCTCATTCAAGCTGAAAGGCTTTTGTTTCCATCTGTGGTGGGGCAGGAGGGACAGCTGCTGGACATGGGGTGTGAGACCTATACCTGCAGCCAGCCAGCCAGCCAGCCTGGGACCCAGGATTAGGACTCACTATGCTCAGAGCCTATTGCTGTGTATGCTCCCTAGACTCCCCGGAGGCAGAAGAGGCTTTTCTGTAGGTACCACCATGGCAACGGGACGCCACAGCTGCTCATCGCCCCCTTCAAAGAGGAGGATGAGTGGGACAGCCCGCATATCGTCAGGTATTATGATGTCATGTCTGATGAGGAAATCGAGAGGATCAAGGAGATCGCGAAACCCAAAGTAGGTATCTCTGCAGTTCCTTCCTGGGTTCCTAATCCCTTGTATCATGGGGTGTATCATGGGGTGGTTTGTTTGCTTACTCTTCTGGCCTTTGCTGATACCTAGCACAAGTCTGCTGTCTAGGTGCTCTGGTACTGCAGACTCAGTATGACTTTCTGGGTTCATGGTCCAGTGGCAAAGAAAACTGAAGAAACCAATGTGGACAGCCGAGTGCTATGACAGAAGGACTCCTTGGGAGCAGGGCCTGTCCACAGCAGGAAGTGTCAGCTCACCTGGTGGGGACTGGTGTGTGAGTGAGTTTTGGGGGAACTGCCATAGATGCTGCCAGCCTGGGTCATATGGAGGTCCCAGTTAGTACTGTGAAGAAGTGATTGACTTGGAGGAAGAACAGTATGCAGTCTTCTCATTCACAAGCACTCCAGGCCTCTCATTTATTTATATCTTGTAAACTTTTTCATAAATGCCTAGTACATTTCTTGTTAAGTTTATTCCTAGGTATGTTTTTTGTTGTTTTTTTATTACCATATTTTTACTGGTTATGTTGTATTAGTTTACTATTATATATTGAAGTATTAATTATAAAATATATTTTATAGTCACAGCTAATGTTTTTTTTAAATTTTATTTATTTATTCATGAGAGACACAGAGAGAAAGAGAAAGGCGAGACACAGGTAGAGGGAGGAGCAGGCTCCATGCAGGGAGCCTGACGTGGAACTCGATCCAGGGACTCCAGGATCACACCCTGGGCCAAAGGCAGCGCTAAACCACTGAGCCACCTAGGGATCCCCCACAGCTAATGTTTATTGAGGTTTTTTTTTTTAAATTAATTTTTTTGAGAGTACATGTGATTGAATGTGGTGGGGGGAGGTTAGAGGGAAAGAATCTCAAACTCCCGCTGAGCGCGGAGCCTTCTCAGGGCTCCTTCTCACAACCCTGAGATCATGACCTGAGCTGAAATCAAGAGTTGGATGCTTAACCGACTGAGCCACCCTGCTGCCCCTGTGTTCCTGAATTCTTAGGTGTGACAGGTCCTATTCTAAATGCTTAACATATATTAAGTATCATGTCTGTTAAGCACACTGTGTTGTGTCACTGTCTTCATTTTACCCACAAGCAAACAGACCTGTGCAGATTGCTGCCACTTGTTCAACTCACTTTTCCTCTTTTGATTTTTAGCTGATTCTCTTGGGTTGTTCAGACATGATCATCAGCTACAAATAAGGAAAATTTTGTTTTCTCCTTCCTAATCATTATAGTTCCATTGTTTTTATCATCTTGTTGAACTGCTCAGAACTCCTTGAGCATTGTTAACTGTTGGCATCCTGGTCTTGTTTCTGAATTTCCTGGGGATTCCTCTGTTATTTCACTGCTAAGTATGCAGTTGGCTGTTGGTTTTGTACGTACGTCATCAGGCTATAAAATTATTTTTGTATTTCTGGTTCATGGAAGATTTGTTCACATTTGACGTCATTTAAAGAGAACCAGTTCCTGCCATGTGCACACCCTTTTCCTATCTCTGGTGATTACAGGGCGGTGGGGGGTGGGGGAGATTTAGCTGGATCCCCTATTACTCTGCTTCTAATAGACTTGTAGTGGCAAGAGGTCCTACACTCGTGGGGAGATGGAAAATAGGTCCCTATCCTGGCCTCTGCACCTCATCCTGAAGTGACCTTGGCTTGAGGTACAAGGACATCTAGTGCCCAGAATCAATCATTGAGGTTGCTGAGGGATGGTCTAGCCAAAGTGTGTGGAGAATGGGGACCCAGACCCACCCTTTCCACTCCCTGGGTTAGCTGCAAAGTCCTCCAAGGAAGAAAACTGTTTCCCTGGTTGTCAGGTGAGAGAGCTTTGTTATGCCAGGACCTTTTGAGAGATTCCTCACTTGTCCCTCAGGCCAAGGCACTGAAACATTTCTGTGTGTGTATTCATGTGGGGTGTGTGTGTGCATATGTGTGTGGCAGGGGCAGTGTGGGGAGAGTGTTGGGAGAACTTGTCTTTGAATTGAAGCCATGACATGAGCCACTACAAGCTGACCTCTCCTTTCTGGAACCTGTGAGGGACACATGCTATTCTGGCTTTGAAGTAGGGCCCATGAGCTTACCTTAGTCTGCAGGGAATGCCTGGCAGCTGCTTTTTTAGGTCCTTGGCCTGCTTTCAGAATAGCTCTGCCTGTCTCTGGGAGCAGAACATAACTTCCCCACAGCCTCCTTGTGGATGTCAAGCCAGTGTTGAGACTCAGATATTTGGAGGGGGTTTGGCTGCAGCTGCACTTGTCATCAGTAGGAATCGTACACAAGAGCTTGGGGAAGCCCTCTGCCCTGGGCACACTGTTGGGTTGCCAGAAATTGCTGCAGTAGTGCAGCATCCTGGTTACGGGATCTCCTGGCCAATCTTCTGATCCAGCCACACCTCTCCATCCCTTCTACCATCAACTCTTGCCTTGATCTCTGCTTGAGCTCCTCGTTGGCTGCCTTGTTACCACTTTTGCCCTACGTTACTCAGCTTTCCCAGAGGTGTCCACATTCTGATTGTGAGTGTCCCTTACCTGCCTTCTCTGTTTGTTATTTGCCACAAGGTTGCTTCCAGGCCCAGTCCCCACTTGCCTCTTTGGCCTATTCTCATCTCTTTCCTCTAACATCTAATCCACGGTCATGGTATCACACACCCTCTTTCATCCCTGGGCCTCAGCATTGCTGTTCCTTCCCTGTTCCTGTCATGTTCCCCTACTTGGCTAACTCCTGCTTACCCGGCACATATTTCAGCTAGGTGATCTCCCCCTGACCATTCCTGAGTATAGTATAGACTGAGCTCCTGCAAACATTAAACTGACTCCACTTGCCGCTCTCCTCATGTTGGGCTGCAGTTGGGCAGCTAGTTTTCTGCCTTCCCCACTTGACGGAATTGCATGAGGACAGGGGCCATGTCTTGGTCACCCGGTGTAGTGCCGGCCACGTAGTAGGTGCTCATTAAGTATTTATGGAAATTAAGGGGAAGTGCTGTAGGGGTGGGGGTATCTGGGTCTTTGGTTCCACCCATGTGAGGTCATTAGGACAGTACACAGCTGAATCATGGCAGAGATGGCTTTGAGTATCAGGTGCTTCCTGGGAGCATCATTGTACCTGTCTGTGGAGATTCAGAGCCTATGAGGTAGGTTAGGGGTGTTGGTGGATGTGTGTACATTAGCATACATGTGAGATAAGTGGCTTCCAGGCAGCAGGTCACATATTTCAGCCTGTATGATCCTTTCTAGATTCTACCATCTGATCTTGTGAGGCTGCTGAGTAGAAAGTGTGCCTCCCTTCTTTGCTCTTCACAGTGGTGGAAGCCCAGTGGGAGGTGCTGCAGCAGGATGATAGTTTCTTGGCAGAGAAGGTCGCTGTGGTTCAAAAGGACCAGGTCAAGCAAAGGTGGTGCTCAGGCAGGGGCGGTATGTATGCCTGGTGAGAAGGTAATCTGTCCAGGCAGATGGTGAATGGACAAAGGAGACTCCATAGGCATAATTCTGCAGACAGCACAGACCTGGGTGGGAGCAGGGCTCGGCAGTGACTTAGCATGGCAGTGGCCAGGGTCTCACAGCAGAACAGGAACGTGGAGGCCTGAGACTACTGCTTTTCCCTGGCTTGCAGGATCATGGTGCCTTGTCTAGTGCCACTGCCTGAGAAACTTGTTTTCCCAGTTGGTCGGAATGGCAGATCTGGTCCCCGTCTCTCTAGGAAAACACTCAAGGCAAAGAAAGATAAGTCTGCCCTCTCTTCCTGCCTTCCAGCTTGCACGAGCCACTGTCCGTGATCCCAAGACAGGCGTCCTCACTGTTGCCAGCTACAGAGTTTCCAAAAGGTTAGCAGAGGTGATGGTGGGGGTGGGGGTGGGGTGGGGTGGGGTGGGGGTTGATGGCTGCTCAAATCCTATCTACAGGGCTTCCTAGTTTCTACTGAAGGGAGCTTGGCTTGGCTTGTTCTACTTGCCGGTATTTCCCTACTTAGAATACACACCCTGTGTTGCCTGGTAGTCCTGGCCCTGACTCTAGGGGGAGAGTGTAAGACCTCATCTAAGCTACCTTCTCCACTTTCCTTTTCTTGGCTTAGCTCGTGGCTGGAGGAAGATGATGACCCTGTTGTGGCTCGAGTGAATCTTCGGATGCAGCACATCACAGGACTGACAGTAAAGACTGCAGAACTGCTGCAGGTACGCCTGGACCCTATAGTTGGGAAGTGGGAACATTTCTGGGCAGATGGTCTCCCAGGGTGCCCCAAGCCAGGCGTTGGGAAGCTTTCCCAGTGAACTGTGTGACTGCACAGTGCTGTGAATATGGAGTGATCTCACACAGGGAAGCCAGAATTAAGCATGCCTACTGTCATTCCAACAGTTATCATTCAACAGATATTGGTTGTCTTCTGTGTGCTGAGTATCATACTAGGAGCTAGGGTTCAGTGGTGGGCATGGCAGACCCATTTGTCTCTCTTGACTATGGAAGCTGAAATCCTGAGTTGTTTTAGAGACACTGCTAAGAGAGCTATAAATATCTGCAAAGGTCATAGTTCTGATGCCTATGGTTCATATGCACTTAGAGGTAAATAAAGGGTTCTGTGATCCATTGGTAGAAAAAGTGAGGTCTGAAGAGGCTGATGAGAGTGAGGAGCTTTTTTCAAAGTAGCCCCTTTGGAACCCTGGCTTTCTGCCTTTATTTCAAAGGTGATTGTGAAGACATGGCAGCTGGGTAGAGCTCCTAATAATGTATCTTCTGGTATATATTGAGTTCAAATCAGTTTTGGGGGCAGCCCCGTGGCCCAGTGATTTAGCACCGCCTTCGGCCCAGGGTGTGATCCTGGAGACCCGGGATTGAATCCCACGTCGGGCTCCCTGTGTGGAGCCTGCTTCTCCCTCTGCCTGTGTCTCTGCCTCTCTCTCTCTCTCTCTCTCTCTCATGAATAAATAAATCTTAAAAAAAAAAAAAAACCCAGTTTTGGCCATGCTCCCTTCTGAACATTGGAACATCTGGGTTCTGTTGTAAAGTGTTGACCTGAGACACCTCCAGAGAAGTTTCACTGGCATTTTTCTTTCTTTCTTTCTTTCTTTCTTTCTTTCTTTCTTTCTTTCTTTCTTTCTTTCTTTCTTTCTTTCTTTCTTTCAAGATTTCATTTATTTATTGAGAGAGACTGTGCAGGTACGTGTACAAGCAGGGGGAGGGGCAGAGGCAGAGGGAGAGAGAATCTCAAGCAGACTCCGTGCTAAGCACAGAGCCTGACATGGGGCTTGATCTCATGACCCTGAGATTGTGACCTGAGCCGAAATCGAGAATTGGGTGCTTAATCGACTGAGCCACACAGGCACCACAAACTTAATTTAATTTTAAAGTAGTTCTGTAAATAAGTACATCGAAGGGAGTTTTTGCCACATCTCCCACTTGCACCATTTCAAGAGCAGTAGAGATTCTCATTGCACTAAGTTCATTTCTGTTGGCATTGTTGTGATTCATATATTCATGGAGCATATCTGTTGTTGTTAACACATCTGCCACTCTCAGAGCCAGTGTTAGGACTCTCATGGCCACCACCATGGAGGACAGCATTCTGCTTGATTGGCTGATTCCATACCCTGGACCAATGGGCTGAGAAGACTAGATGGGATCTATGCCCCTGTTGCTATCTTGGCTGGCTCCCGGGCTACACCCTCTGTACCCTATCTCACATGCAGCTGAGAAGGCAGTATAAAACTTGGACTAGCTTCTCTGCCACAACCCTGGCTCCATCTTGTTTGGCTCATCATGTTGTAGGTCTGTAATGAGTGGGATCTGAATGCCAGGACTCCCTGTGGATTTGACTCTTAAAATCAAGGCTCTTCTGGAAGACCCAGACTATAGCTGTCTAGGGGCTGAAGCCCTATTTTTGTTTGCCTTCTTCTTCTGTGAACTATTTTGGCATTTCCTTTGCCAGCCAACAGTGTTGAAAGCTTTGACCTGACCCTACATGGTCTGGGGGACAAGAACCTGGGTGTCAGCACCTTCTTCTAAGTGCTTATTTGTTGTGGATTGGTTGACGTATAGTCAGTGCCTAGGCACTAGCAAGAGCCGGTACTCCATGGTCCCTCAGAATGTTAGGGATCTGGAAAGGAGTTGGTTCTTCTGCTCCCTGTTGACACTCTTTCATCTGTAGTTGATGTGTTTGCACTAGATCATTTGGAAGAAAAAGAGCAATTGAGGCTTTCTTATGAATTGGATGAAGGCTTGTCTGATGCTACACTGAAGGAATTCTCTAAGATTGAGGGCACTTCTTTTTTTTTTTTTTTTTTTTTTAAATTTATTTATTTATTTATTTATTTATTTTTTTTATAAATTAATTTTTATTGGTGTTCAATTTACCAACATACAGAATAACACCCAGTGCTCATCCCGTCAAGTGTCCCCCTCCGTGCCCGTCACCCATTCACCCCCACCCCCCGCCCTCCTCCCCTTCCACCACCCCTAGTTCATTTCCCAGAGTTAGAAGTCTTTATGTTCTGTGTCCCTTTCTGAGGGCACTTCTGATTGGATGTCTCAGCCTTTCTAAAAGAGTAATTTCTGACCATTGTTTTTGGTCTTCACTCTGATCTCAGTATCATAAATTACCCATTTTTCAAATGACTGGCTCTTCTACTTTCGTAACAACACATCTAAAGATTCAAATGAATGCTTCCTTACAGGAATCAGTTTTCTTGTGGTGGGAGGGGGTGGGGGATTTATTTATTTATAAATTTAAATTCAGTTAATTAGCATATAATATATTACTAGTTTCAGAGGCAGAGTTCAGTGATTCATCAGTTGTATAAAACATCCAGTGCTCATTACATTACATGCCCTCCTTAATGCCTATCACCCAGTTATCCTATTCCCCCCCCACCTCCTTTCCAGCCACCCTCAGTTTGTTTCCTAGAGTTAAGAGTCTCTTATGGTTTGTCTCCCTCTCTGATTTTGTTTTATTTTTCTCTTCCTTTACCCTATGCTCCTCTGTCTTGTTTCTTAAATTCTGCACATGAATGAAATCATATGATAATTGTTTTTCTCTGGATAGACTTATTTTGGTTAACATAATATTCGCTAGTTCCATCCATGTCATTGCAAATGGCAAGATTTCTTTTTTTTTAAATGGCTGAGTAATATTTCATTGTGTGTGTGTGTGTGTGTGTGTGTGTGTGTGTATACCATATCTTCCTTATCCATTCATCTGTCAATGGACATCTGGGTTCTTTGCATAGTTTGGGTTTTGTGGACATTGCTGCTAGAAACATTGGTGCAAGTGCCCCTTCAGATCACTACATTTGTGTCTTTGGGGTAAATACTAGTAGTGCCATTGCTGGGTTGTAGGGTAGCTCTATTTTCAACTTTTTGAGCGTGGCTGTACCACCTTGCATTGTCAGCAGGAGTATAAGAGGGTTCTCCTTTCTCCGCATCTTCTCCAACACCTATCATTTCCTGACTTGTTAATTTTAGCCAAGGAATCAGGTTTGATTGATAGTTGCTTGTTATTAAAGTTCTGAGTTTGCCCAGATGGTGAAGCTGATTGCAAATCCAGAAGCCCCTATGACACTTGCATTCTTTGTGGACAATAAATAGTATAGACACAATAGTATCAGCAGACGATCAAATGTGATTCCCAAAACTAAAAAGATGAACCTGCTATAGCAATGCAGCTTCTTTCTCTCCGAGGGATCTACAAGTTTAAAGCATCCCATCCCACAAATGGGAATATTAGAAAGTACAGCCATACCCTGTAGTTCCAGCAGTAAGCGGTGATCAAATTTTGCATAGTGCATTGGCATGATAATTCCAGTTATCTTTAAAATTTTCTTCCAAGTTTTCAACAACGGGACCCAAAGAAAGTGTTTGCAATATCACTTTATCAACTGCTGTAGCACTTCCCTCCTTAGATATACGTTCAGCCTTAGGGCCACCTGTTGAACCTGGCCACTTCACACTGTTGATAGAATTTCCAGGTATTTCTGGTGCAGGAATCTTGAAGGCTAAAGCAGCCTATGATAGTATATTTTCATCCACTGATTCTTCATACCAAAGTTTTAAATTATGTGGACACTGAAAATCATGCTTTCCAAATTCTGCACTACATCACATTTGATGCATATTGCTTTCTTTTTAAATAGGAGGATTTTCTTTCTTGTAAAGTACCCCCTCCCTCTCTCTCCCTCATGTCTATAGGTCTTCATTATTGCCAGTTTTACAAAATCTCACATCTGACTCTTGGAATCGCCAAAAAGGATATGCAAAACATACCAACTTCCTGAAGACTAATAGCTGAGCCCCAGATGTTTTTAGGGCTTCAATAAGAAACAGTAGCCAGATGTTCCCAGATGGACATTGGTGGTACCACTTTATCTGTCAGCTTCCATGTCAAATTCTGTACTTCATCTTGAATTTTGTCTCATTCTGACCACTGCGGCTAGAATAACCATTTGTGACTTAAGACTTAGATTGTGCTGATAAACTGCTCAGTCAGGTGTTTATAGTTTATAATCTAATCAATGCCAATCTGGTAGTTGCTGAAGCTAAGATGGCTCAGGTGCTGCTTCAGGTCCAGGCTCCCACTGGGACCACTGTCGGCTGCCTGTCCTGCTGTTTCACTTGGATGCAGAACTGCTCTATGCGGTGAGCCACTGTGAAAGGGAGTGGGATACATTTTCCCTGCTCAGTTTCACCAGGAACAGTAACCAGGGCACAGTGACACAGGTGGCAGGAGCAGTGTCAGGTACTGAGGAGCTCCCAAACTAGCAGAAGAAAAAAGTTCCTGTCTTGGGTTTGTTGGCTTTCCTCTGGATTACCTTCCTATTGTCTTGCAAACACATAGGCCACGCCCTGCCTTAAGGAAAGCTCTCTCTGCTGCCATCTGAGTGTCCCTAAAGGGCTGGAGTTTCTCCACAGTGGCTGTCTGCAGGTTCCCCATTTTGTGTTTGGGAAACCCCATTTATGCTGTGGCCTTACTCTTGGACATGACTGTAGGTACATTTGAACCATTTGGTCTGCCTGTGCTGGCAGGGCATAGTTACCATCCACCTTAGAGAAGATGCACTTGGGGGTTCTGGTTATTAAGGGGTACAGGTGTTTTCTGTTGTTGTGGGGAGATAGTCTTCCTGGGGAGATGGGCTGCTTCAGGACTGTTCATCCTGCTGACAAGGTCTGATGCTGTTCTTTCCCACCAGGTTGCTAATTATGGAATGGGAGGACAATATGAGCCACATTTTGACTTCTCTAGGGTAAGGCCCAAACCATGGCTACTTCTAGAGGGCGCTGCTCCAGCTGTTTTGAGAAAGCTGGAGCTTCTCTGAGCACTTCAGTCTCTATATTAGGCAACCTCCCCCCCCCCCCCCAACAAACCTTACCAGGACCAACTCTTTGTTACTGGAAAAGTCTAAATCAGGAAATCTGGGGCCTGTGGAACCCAGTGCACCCTGGCTATTTCCCTGTAAAGCATAGGACCTCATTAGATCTTTGTGAAAGCTGTTCCTGGTTCCTGCCCCCCCTTTCCCTGTGCCCTGGCCAGGGTTTCCTTTGCAGCCGTGGCCCATGGTCCAGGCTGATGTATGGAATACATGCTTATTGCCTTCCCTTGACCCTTTTGGCCCCAGTCTTGTGAGTTGGGGGGTGGAATTATCTGCAAATGTGGGTGAAAGTTGTTATTTGTTGCAGCGACCTTTTGACAGCGGCCTCAAAACGGAAGGGAATAGGTTAGCGACGTTTCTTAACTATGTAAGTACTGGGGCCAGGTCCACCTGTTCATTCTCACTTAATTTTATAGAAAAATGAGCAAGATGCTTTCAAGCGTTTAGGGACGGGGAATCGTGTGGCCACGTTCTTAAACTACGTAAGTATGATGCATGCAATAATAAATGGGCCTTCGGGGAACCTAGGCCAGAGTGCTATATTAGATCCACTCCTGTCAGGGCTGACACCATCAGCTGTTGCTCCGTGGCTGGGCCCCTCTGGCCCTCAGCACTCTTCTTGGCTGGAGTAGGGAGTTGACACAGATGTTCCCATCTGTGTGCTCACCCACACCCCTGACTTTCATATCCCTGGCTCCTTTTGATGGGCCCAGTGCTAGTCAGGATTTTTGGGGTGAGTGCCCTGGAGAGTCCCCTCCTTGGAGGAAGAGTGAGGAGGCTGCCATGAGGCCCTTTTAAATGAAAGCTCCCTGTGTTTTCCCAGAGCTTGGTGGCCTGCCTCTCATCTGCTGCCTATCCTCCAGCCACAGGCCATTGGGTTTACATCCTATATGAGGAGCAATTTGCTTTCCCCTCTGCTTAGCCCATTCTAAAGAGGCATACAAACTGTCAGGTAACTTAGAGACAGCAGCCCATGGCCATCTTTTCCTTTGGTGTCTTGTTTAAGTTAAGATTTATGTTCTGGGGCTGGCTGTGAACATGCTAGTGAGCAGGACATGTGGGGTCTTTCGTGGGGTTTACAGCCTAACATGAGGGACTTGCTTTAACCATAGGGCCAGTAATTCATTTAGTTAGCATAGTGACAAATGCCTTGAAAAAGTGGCTCAGGGTTGAGATTCAGAGAAGGCCTCCCTGCGGAGTAATATGTTGGTGGAGACTTGAAGGTTGAGTGGAAATTAGTTGGTGGAACATGCTTTCTGGCAGAGAGGAGAATGTGTGGAGACCTGGAAGAGGGAAGGAGATGGGGATGTTGGAAAAATGGAAGAAGACTGGTGTGACTCAGAGGTAGTAATTGAGACGAGAGCGGGTGGAGAGAGAGAGAGACTGCTGAGACAGACGGGGGCTTTGGGTTCTAGAAAAGAGCCTGGATTTGATCCCCAGGGCTGTGAGAAGCCATCAGAGGTTTTCATCTTATTCGTTTACCACATGCCTGTTGAGTGCTCTTTAGTCTGTCTGGCATGCAACCTGTGGAAATATTTTTAAAACTCCACATTTTATTATATTATAGACAAAAAACTTGAAGACAGCCAGCTGAGACAGAACTGGTGCCTGGGGCATGAGTCGAGGCACGCTTTGTGGGCATAAATGTAGCCTCCCTTCCATGGAACTTGTGTTCCACTTAGTTTGAGGCCTCACTGGGAGAAAGCAGGACCTGTGGAGCCTTCTCTGTCTGCTCACCTGGCTGGCCCCGGGGAGGACTGCTGTTCTGGGAAGGTGAGGGTGGCACTAGAACCAGAGAAACAAAGCCCACAGTGGGGGCTACAGATGGTGTTGGGAGCAGCAGGGAGCTTTAGGGTAGAGCTGCTCAAAGGGCAGAGTGCCTTAGGTATGGCGCAGGCTGGATGGGGATTCAAGAGCAGGCATCAGTCTGGCATTTTCCGTGTACACTCTCAGATTGTTCCCATCTGAGGATGGCCAGGATATGGGTCTTCCCCAGGGCTACGGCTCTCAAGCACCCCTGGCATGGGACTATCCCAATAAAACTGCATAGATTAAGCAGGGTTTAGGAGGGTTAGGGTATGGGATGAGCTTTTCTTGGGGGGAGGGCCAGCTGTGGACCAGAGCCTTCAAGTGGTGTCACTCCTGCTCAGAGAAAGGTAATCTGCATACTTGGGTCCTTTGTGGCTCACTTGCTCTGAGAACTTTGAGTACAAGGGCCAATCTTTTGCCTTGTATTCTCAGATGAGTGATGTAGAAGCTGGTGGTGCCACTGTTTTTCCTGATCTGGGGGCTGCAATTTGGCCTAAGAAGGTAAGTTCTAGTTTTTGTGGGTCACAGGTTGGAGCATAGCTCAGACCTTGTTCATGTCTCTCAGTTCCATTCCCTGGCCTGCTTGATTCTTACTGTGAGGGGCTTTATCCCCTTCCTGCTTGAGCTCTGACTTTTTGGCTTTAGTGTCCATCTGGGGAGATGGTTCGGGAAGGGAAGTCCTTTGGGAGAAGCTTGGTTATTAAATATCCTCCCCACCATGAAGGGTGGATACTTCTGTATTGTTGGAATCCCAGAGTCCTGTCCCTTTGTACATGGGAAAGTGAGAGTGTTTCTGCTTAGGGAGGTGTTATCTGATGGGCTGTCTTTTTTTCCTAGGGTACAGCTGTATTCTGGTACAACCTTCTGCGGAGTGGGGAAGGTGACTACCGTACAAGACACGCTGCCTGTCCCGTGCTTGTGGGCTGCAAGTGGGGTAAGTGGATTAGCCTGGGCACTTTTGGTCAGACTCTGATTTGGGAGATACCTGCTGCTGTATTTTCACAGTGCCAAGATGTCTTCCTTTTTGAGTTTTTCGTTTTTTTTCCTGCTAACTGGTTGTTTCATCCAGCCATGTAGCTGTCCACAAAACTGATTCTGTGCCAGGACAGCTGGTTGGAAATATTTTCAGAGATGTCCACAAGAGCTGAGGAGGCTACAAGGAGGAGAATAGCTACATAAGCGTTGCTTATGGCCCAGGATGGCTCCCAGAAGAGTAGACTCTGGTAGGGGTTCTGAGGGAACAGTGGGAGAGAGTCAGAATGGGGAAGAGGTCTCCTAGGCAAGCAAGGCCCACATGGAACCAGCATGTTGGGTTCGGGGACCAGCTGCCTTTGTCATTTACGTAAGGGGAGGACTATGGTACAGGGGCCTGGAGATGAGGCTCGAGGCTGGGACCAGACCATGGAGGCTGAAATTAGAGCTTTGAGCTTTGTTCTGAAAGCAGCTGTGGTGAGTGAGGGGGAGGCTTGAACCAGGATGATAGGAAGTGATTGCAGAGAGGAGTTTATACCCTCATGGAGAGTTTTGGGGATAATAGTGGTAGGTTCACAGAAAATTAAGCATTTAGAATCTAAATGAAGCAAATGCTGACTTTAGGGAAAAGAAAGAATTGTACAAGAAATGTCAGTGTACACTATTAGGTGACTCAGGCATGAGCAACATTTATGTGATATGCTAATGTAAGCAGTTAATGATTATTTATTTTATTATTTTTATTATTTTTTAAAATTTTTATTTATTTATGATAGTCACAGAGAGAGAGAGAGAGAGGCAGAGACACAGGCAGAGGGAGAAGCAGGCTCCATGCACTGGGAGCCCGACGTGGGATTCGATCCCGGGTCTCCAGGATCGCGCCCTGGGCCAAACGCAGGCGCTAAACCGCTGTGCCACCCAGGGATCCCTATTTATTTATTTTTAAAGTTATTTATTTATTTATTCATGAGAGAGAGAGAGATAGGCAGGTACAGAGACACAGGCAGAGGAAGAAGCAGGCTCCATGCAGGGAGCCCGACATGGACTGGATCCCGGGTCTCCAGGATCACGCCCTGGGCTGAAGGTGGCGCTAAACCGCTGAGCCACCTGGGCTGCCCAATTAATGATAATGTAATTAAAATTTGTGATTTAATTCTATTGAGGAGATAGAAGATGTAATGTGTCTTAGGGGTAGTATAGAAGAATTCCAAAATTGAAAGTCAAGAGATAGCAGTATCAGCATGTTATTTAGAAATATGTGGTTATAAAAAAAAAAAAGAAATATGTGGTTGAATGTCAAAAGAAACAACTAAAGGAGTTGAGTGTCCTCTAGAAGTGGGGTTTGGCAGCGGGAAGGGGCGGGTGGGTAGGAGATTGCTATTTATCACTATAAGCTTTGTAGACAGTTTAATTTTTTTCAACTAAATACATTTATATTTTAAAAGCTCTATGGCTTCAGTAGTGCATTATTTATCATGCTAAGAGTCTGTGTTAAGGAATGAAATAATGGTTCCTGTGGATTTGAGGCTCAGCTTTAGGTGACTGACAGTGCTAGCACTGGCTCTGCTGCTCTCTTACCCACAGCACACAGACCAGATCTGCTGACCCACAGGTCTTGAGGTTGACATCCAGGCCCTCCACAGTCCTGACAGACTTCCTCATCCTTAGCTTCTATATCTTAGTTCTTTATCAATAATATCAAGCTGCTTGGGGTCCTTGATATACATCACGGTTATTCATGTCTTGATGTCTTTCTCATCCTCTTCCCACTTCCTGGACCCCATTGATACATGAATCATCTGGTAATCCATCTTCTTCCCTGGATAACTCCTATTCAGCACCATGTCCCAGCCTGGAGTCTCCTCTTCCCTCACATGGTTAGGTGTCCTTTGGTTCAGTTTCCATGGCAATGTACACATATTTATCTTTTTTCATGGGCAGACCTTTGAACAGTTATCTATTTATACATAGGTTTTCCTTACCAGCTCATGAGCAACTTGAGGTTTGAGACCATATCTTACTCAAGTTTGAGTTCCAGGGCCCAGTGCAGGATTCATCATGGAGGAGTCATTCATTTTGGCTGCTAAACTAACCAACAGGATTGTAACATACTTTCTTTCTGTTCACAGTCTCCAATAAGTGGTTCCATGAACGAGGACAGGAATTCTTGAGGCCATGTGGATCAACAGAAGTTGACTGACTTCCTTTTCTGCCCTTCCCGGCCCCACAGCCCATGTCGTCCTCAAGTTCCACATGACAGACACCCTTGTATGTTCCAGGCCCTGTCACTCAGGTCTTTGTTGGAGTGAATGTTTGTCTGGAGCAAAGGGAGAGCCGACTGGGGAGGGTCCTGGGTGACCTGGGTCCCGACCTCTCTGGTCAGCCTGTGCCACCTCTGGCCACCTTGGGTCAGAGTGGCTGCAGCAGAGTAAGGCTGTCTAGCACCTAGCAAGGTGCCTTTGTACCTCAGATGTTTTAGGTGTGAGGTGTTTCAGTGAACCAAAGTTCTGATACCTTGTTTACATGTTTGTTTTTATGGCATTTCTATCAATGTGGCTTTAACCAAAAAATAAAATGTCCCTGCCGGAAGCCTTAAAAAGCCTTATTCGGAGTATTTTTTAAATATGGGGGAACTTATACCAAGTTTGCTATTTCTTTCCTATGCATCTCCTCTGTAGAGGCAGAATCTGGGTAGTGAATACTTTAGTGGCAAAACCTTGACCTTGGGTTCTAGATGTGGTTTCAACACTTATATTTCTAAGCTTCAGTATCCTTTCTGGAAAGTGAGGGAAATAGTCTCACCTTGCCTTTTAGAGAATATAGTGATCGTGTATGTTCATGACTATTTTGCTGTTAGAATTTGAAATATTTTTTTTGAAATTTCTTAAAAATGTTAAGATACACACAGAACTGTTTATGAAACGTAAATATACAATGTAAAGAATATGAAGGTGAACATGAGCAATGATGTGACCAGGTTAGAGAAGAGATCGTTTTCAAATCTGTACCTCAGGAGACCCTTGTAATCCTTTCCTGGATCATACCTCCTATCCTGCTTCTGGTACCTTGGTGGTAACCATTGTCTAGTGATTTGTGGGAGTTATTCCTTTGTTTGTTTGTAATTTTATTACCTGTGTCTACATCCTTAAATTAAGGATTATTTTGTTTTCCCTGATTTTGAATGTTTTGTAAATAGAATCATCTATTTTTGCAGGTGTTGGGCTTCTTTTGTTTGACAGTTGTTTTTAAGATTCATTTATGTTAAATAGCTCTAGTTTGTTTTAATTTGTAGAGTTGCTTCAGTTTTGTAAATGTATATGGTAGGACAGTACTTAATGTAGCCAGTATACTGTTGATAAGATATTTGAATTGGTTTCATTCTTTGTATGTTATGAGTAATGCTGCCATTTGCATTTTTATACATGATTCCTGGTACACATAAACACATTTCTGAAGAATATATATCTAGCAGTAGAAATGTGGAGTCTTGGTAGTTTTCAAATTTACCATATAACAAACATATTCCAGGGTGGTTATTCATATTCTCACCAGGAGTGAATGAGAGTTGTTATCCCAATTTTCTCTAATATCTGGTACTGTCCTGCTTCTCCATTTTAGCTAACTTGTTACATGCATAGTATTGTCTATTTTATTTTTATTTTATTTTTTAAAGATTTTATTTATTCATGAGAGACCCACAGAGAGAGGCAGAGACTTAGTGGGACTTGTCCCACGACCCCAGGATCACATCCTGAGCCAAAGGCATACACTTAACTGCTGAGCCACCCAGGTGCCCCAGTGTTATCTATTTTAACATAATTACTGATGACATCGAATACCTTTTTATTAGTCATTAGTTTTCTTTAAATGTCTTTTCAAGTCTTTTTCTTACTGATTGGAATTTTTTAGTATCTTATAGACATAAACTCTTTGATGGTTATAGGTTTTGCAAGTTATTTTCCTTTTTTTTTTTTAAGATTTTATTTATTTATTTATTTGAGAGAAAGCAAGTGAGAAAGCACAGGCAGTGGAAGGGGCAGAGAAAGAGGGAGAAACAGACTCCCCATCGAGCACGAGCAGGGAGCCCAATGTGGGGCTCCATCCCAGAACCCCAAGATCACGACCTGAGCTGAAGGCCGACGCCCAACCACTGAGCCACCCAGGCATCCCTATTTTCCTTTTTCTAGTTTGTCTTTTCAGTTTTAGTTTTGTCTTCTGATGAACACAAGTTCTTGATTTTTATGTCAGATTTATCAGGCTTTTCCTCTTTGATTTATGCTTTTTATATCTTAAGAAATTATTCTGTTCTCCAAAATGATCATGGTATTTCCTATGTTTTCCAAAAGCATTATAATCTTGTCTTTCATATACCTGGGTTTTATTTTTGTTGGTACAAGGGTCTACTTAAATTCTTATGTATTTTGTTAGGATAGAATAAGCTTATGCTACATTGATAATAAAACCTCTAAACCTGGGGATCCTGGTGGCTCAGCAGTTTGGTGCCTGCCTTTGGCCCAGGGTGCGATCCTGGAGTCCCGGGATCGAGTCCCACTTCGGGCTCCCAGCATGGAGCCTGCTTCTCCCTCCTCCTGTGTCTCTGTCTCTCTCTCTCTATCTCTCTCTGTCTATCATAAATCAATCAATCAATCAATCTTTACAAAAAAAAACTCTAAACCTCAGTGGTTTTTAATATATAAAGCTATCTCTCTTCCAAAAAGAAAAAAATTCTTGGATTTGGGCACCTGCTACTTACCTAATACCATGTAATCTTCTAGTATCTTCCATTGGCAGAACCTAACAGGATGCCAGCTGGTAAGGGAATATGGGAAACACAGTTTATGGAGTTGCAACTCCAATATAACAGCAGACTATAGAAAGATTCGCTTAGAGTTGAGAAACAACAAAATTATTGGCATGATTGGTGGGTTTTTTCCTCCCCTGTTTGATAGTCTTCACGTTTCTTGAAAGTGTACAGTAGTATCTTTACTCAGTTTTGGAAAACTATTAAATCATTTTATTTTAATATTTTCTTTTTTTAAAATTTATTTTATTTTATTTATTTTATTTTTATTCTTTTATTTCAATATTTTCTGTGTTCCTTCTGGAACTTGGATTAAATGTAAATTAGATTATATCATACTGTTCTTAGTTCTTAACCTGTTTTCATATTTTTTATAACTGCTGTATTTTGGGTAATTTTTAAATTGTTTTCTAGTTTATTCTTTTTTCTATTAAATTCACCTGCGTTTTTCTTTAACCAGCTTAAAGATGTAATTCTATTATTTCCAGGCTTGCACCATTTCTGTTAAAAATTCATCTATCTTGTCCTTTTGTTGCTCTTTGAAAGTAAATTCCCCACAACCCCGTCCCCTCCCTGCTGTCTGCTTAAGATTTTTCAGTGGTTTTACTATAATGTGCCTAGTGTGGGTTTCTTTTGGTTATTTTCTGGCTTGGGGTTTACAGAGTTTCTTGAATTTGTGGGTTGTCTTTAATCAATTTTGGAAATTTCTTAGACATAATTCAGATATTGTTGCGGTCTCATTTTTTGTGTCTCTTCTGAGACTCCAATAATCTGGATGTTGGAACTTTTCACTCTTTCAGGTTTGATACTGTCTCCTGTTTCCCATTCTTTTTTTCCCACTTGTTTTCAGACTAAATATTTTCATCTGTCTTCCAGTTAATTTGTCAGTTATACTAAGTAAACCCATCTGCTGAATTCTTAATTTCAATTCTTATATTTTTCAGTTCTAGAGTATCTTTCCACTCAATTATTTTTAATAGATTCTAATTCTTTGGGGAACTGATCTTTTTGCTTTATTCCATGTTTTTCTTCAACTAATGAAGCCGTTATTTAAAAGTCCTTGTCTGGGGCAGCCCTGGTGGCCCAGCGGATTAGTGCCCGCCTTTAGCCCAGGGCGTGATCCTGGAGACGGAGGATCGAGTCCCACATCAGGCTCCCTGCATGGAGCCTGCTTCTCCCTCTGCCTGTGTCTCTGCCTCTCTCTCTCTCTCTCTGCCTCTCATGAATAAATAAAGTCTTAAAAAAAAGTTTTTGTTTGATAACTCCATGATAAAAATTTTCTGTGGATCTTTTTTTTTTTTTTTTTTTGCCTCTTGGTTGATGATGATTTAGTCCATTCTAGACTAGTGTTTGACCAAACAACTGGTCACAACAACAGTCTAGGCAAGTTGACATTAAATAATTGACTATTACATGCCCTTTTACTTCACAACTTCTGTCAGTTATACTTTAGACATTGTTTTAGTTTCCAGGATAAATCGGTACTAAAAGTTGAAACCAATTACTATCTTCTTTATTTAATTAAACTTATTATAATGTTGATGTAGCTATCATAAATACGGTACACATTCCTTTTTATTTTTTAAAGGAATCTGTACTGTATTTGTCTAATAAAATTCAAAACAAATTTACAACTTGTATGTTTGCTAGGGCTGTCATAATAAAATACCACAGACTAAGTGGCTTAAACAATAGACATTTATTTTCTAACAGTCTGGAAGCTTAAAAGTCCAAGATCAGGGTGTGGGAAAGTTTGGTTACTGAGATTGAGGTCTCTCTCTGGTTTGCAGATGGCCACTTGCTTACTATGTCCTTACTCTGGATACCCCTCAGTCTGTTTGTTATGTATGGCTTAAATTCCTCTTAAAATAATACCAGTTGTATTAATTAGAACTCACGGATAATGACCTCATTTTACCTTAGTTACCTCTTAGGTAATCTCCTCTCTCCAAATAGAGTTGCACTGCATTCCAAGGTACTGGGGGTGGGGGTGGGAATTAGAACTTCAACATATGAATTTTAGGGGAACATACAATGCTAATTGGACACCCTGTAAATTTGAAACACTACTGGGACTAAAAGAAGTAACACACTTTTTCCTTATTCTTTGCAAATGAAATGTACCCATCTTGAACAAATGTGTCAATTATGTTTGCATTAAGAATGTCTTCACAACCAAAAGTTTTACTGATATTATTGAAGAGATAAAAGGATATGGCCTAACTAATAAAATTCTTAAATTGGAAAAAGTGTTGACAAAAAATCTTGGAGGCAGGATCATGATAATGGAATAAATACAGCAGGATATATAAGCCATTATTTCCCCCCAAAATGATATGCCAAATTTGTGCCTTATTCAGCTCATAATCTAATGTGTAAAAATCCTGCTTTCAAGGAATTAAAATAAAACATTTTTTAGTACTGAACAAAGGATATTTATATATTTTGTGAATTCAATGAACAGATAGGATATTAAGCCTGTCCTAAAAACTACACTAAAGTAGGGCAGCACTGGTGGCTCAGTGGTTTGGCGCCGCCTTCGGCCCAGGGTGTGATCCTGGAGACTCGGGATCGAGTCCCGCGTCGGGCTCCCTGCATGGAGTCTACCTGTGTCTCTGCCTCTCATTCTCTCTCACTCTCTCTCATGAGTGAATAAATAAAATCTTAAAAAAAAAACTACACTAAAATACACATGAATCCTCAGGGGAATCAAGATAGAAATGCAGTCAAAGCACTTCACACAAAGATGTCTGTTAAAACATCAAATGACAAAATACAGTATGCTGAAATAGCAAGTGTCTTGGTGCAAAGACATTAAAAATTTTTATCTGTCTTATATAAATGGGATGATAGTTTGAACTAAGAAAAAGTTAAAGATTGTTGCAATTTAAAAAACCCATGACTATATACAAAGTGTGTTGCGTGCTTAATAGAAGTCCTGTCCCTTGTAACAAATGAGAGCAAGTAACTCTGAAAGTATGTTTGATTAATGTAAAACATTAGCAAGAGATGAATATACCCCCTGAACTTGAAAAGAACCTGGAAATGTACAAATCATTGATGAGTGTATCAACTATTAGAGGAAATGTATTTATCAGATAGAAGTTAAAGAGATTATAGAGGTTCAATAAATGGAGATGTCTTCAAATATTTTAGAGCTGTTATTTTCTATGGAGGTTATTTTGTACAAATTACATCTGATTTATAAAAAAGCAACTTTGTAAAAAAAGTTTATGAGATACACAGAGAGAGAGGCAGAGACATAGGCAGAGGGAGAAGCAGGCTCCCTGTAGGGAGCCTGATATGGAACTTGATCCCAGGACCCTGGGATCACGACCTAAACCAAAGGCAGATATGCTCAACTACTGAGCCACCCAGGTGCACCCAGAAAGCAGCCTCTTAAATAGTATCCTGATGATTTAAATCCTGTGGATATTTTAAAAAATGATTTTATTCATTTATTTGAGAGAGAGAGCACACAAGCAAGGGTAGTGTCAGAAAGAGAGAAACAGGTTCCCCCCTGAGCTGGGAGCCTGATGGGCTCAGTCCCAGGACCCCAGGATCATGACCTGAGCTGAAGCTGTAGACGCTTAACTGGCTGAGCCACCTAGGTGCCCCACTCCCGTAGAAATTTCATCTGAGGAAGTTTTAGGCAGCAATTTTGTAATTAAAAAATCAGGGGCACCTGGGTGGCTCAGGTGACAATCTTGGAGTCCTGGGATCCAGCCCCATATTGGGCTCCCTGCTCAGTGGGGAGTCTGCTACTCCTTTTCCTTCTGCTCCCTGCCCCACATGCTTGTGCTTGCTCTCGCTCTCCCTCTCAAATAAATGTCTTTTAAAAAAATCAGCATTGTGTTTGGGTCTTTCAAAACATTCCTGTTTTTTTCTTAGTGGAATCCTATCCAAATATTGAAGTGGTCTCCGGAAACTTAAAAAAAAAAACACCACCAGTTACAGTGGTGGCATCCTATAAAATAAGTCTCTAATAATAATTACGAGTCACTTACAATTGAGGCAACTGGGTGGCTCAGAGGTTAAACATCCACCTTCAGCTTAGGTCTTGGTCTCAGGGTCCTGGGATCAAGCTCCCCATCCGGCTCCCTGCTTAGCTGGGAGTCTGCTTCTCCCTCTCTCTCCACTCTCCCCCATGGCCTCTCTCTCTCTCTCTCTCTCTCTCTCTCTCGCTTCTCACTCGCTCGCTCTCTCCCTTTCTCATTAAGTAAACAAAATCTTAAAAAGTTAGGATTAAACAAAAATTATCTAAGATTGCACTCGATCAAGAGAAATCTTGAAAATTTTATGTATGGACGTCCATTAAATCCAAGAAAATAAAATTGATATTTTTTACTTTGAGTATAAATAAAATACTTAAACTTCAAAATGTGAATTTCAAAATAACTTCTCAGTTTTTCAGTATTTAAAACTATTTGGGGAATATTAACAAAACACAGAAGCACATGCAAAAACATATGAGAGGCACATGTTTCCTTTGCCTCAGGCTTGGCACAGCGCTGTTCTTGTTTCCAAACTTGGTGTCTTAAACTCCAGCGTTACGGTTGCCAGATTCAGCAAATAAAAATGCCGGACACCCCACTTAAACTGCAGTTTCAGATAAACAATGAATAATTTCCCATGAGCCTTACCAAAAAATTAGTTACTGCCTCTCGGAAACTTCACATTTAAGTGAGCATCCTGCATATTATCTCGCAACCCTAAATGTCATTATGTTACATGGTTGAGGAAGCTGTTTCCTTCCCGGCCCAGCTCTACTGCCCCAACAACAACTCGTCCTAGGGCTGCTGGTTTTGCAGGGGTGACTCGGGCTCCCACGTGGGCGGTCACGTGGCTTCTGCGCCTCGCTGAGTGGCCAGTGGCCCCCGGGCATCTCTAGTGGGTCTGGGAAACCCCGCGTCGGCACCCATCACCATTCCTGCTGCCTGTCCCCCAGCCCTCGCTTCCTCAGGGCCATTGTGCTTGCTGGTCCCTCTCCCCGGAATGTTCTCCTAGGTCGTCACGGTTACCGCCCTCATTCGCTTCAGGCTGATCAAATACCACCTTATCAGATAGGTGACTGATGACTACGAGGAAGGAACGGGTGCTCATTCCCCTCCCCGTTACCCTTCGGTTTTCTTTATAGCACTTACTGCCATCCATTAAATAATGTATTTATTTGCATTTTAGCTTATGGAATAGAGGCTCCTTGAGGGAAGCAGCTCCGTCTCCCACTTCTATAGCCACAGAGCCTGAAGTCGGGTTTGGCACGCGACTGAAAGGGAATTTTGGCACGGAGCTTAGTACCCGGATGAGGACTGGTGGGAGGGAATAGAGGGAGGCACCCGGAAGGGGCGGGGCTTGTTGTGGGAGCCTCCGGAAGGGGAGGTGCCAGAGGCTTCTAAAGGCTTTGGTCCTGTGGTGGTGTTTCCATGGTTGAGGTAGAGAGATGGTCGAGGGCAGCAGGCTGTGGGTGACACTGTGCGTGCAGCGGCTCAGGCTTGGAGCCTGTGGCCGACTCTCCGTTCAGGCCTGTCCAGCCGGAGCAGCTGGGCAGGACCCGCTTCTGTGAGCCTTAATGGGCTCTGTTCCCGTTAGTGGCTTGCTCGTCAACAGGTGGAATAGAAGGTGTGCCCTGAGGAGGTGGGTACAGTTCCCCAGTGACTAGGACATCATTTGCAAGGCTGAGGCTGCTCTGTGGAGGTTTGTTTAACTTCTGTGCAGGTTTATTTAACTTTTGTGCGGATTCCTTAGTCACTAATACGGGGAATATAAGAAATAGTGAAAGGGAATAAGGGGGAAAGGAGAGAAAATGAGTGGGAAATATCAGAGAGGCTGACAGAACATGAGAGACTCCTAACTCTGGGAAACGAACTAGGGGTGGTGGAAGGGGAGGCGGGCGGGGGGTGGGGGTGACTGGGTGACGGGCACTGAGGGGGGCACTTGACGGGATGAGCACTGGGGGTTATGCTATATGTTGGCAAATCAGACTCCAATAAAAAATACATATATAAAAATTTATTTTCAATGTAATATATAATATGTATATATAATTGCTTAAAATATATAATTATATAATATATATGTGTGTGTGTGTATATATATATATATATATATATATATATTTTTTTTTAAGTAGGTTCTATGCCCAGGGTGGAGCCCAGCTTGGGGCTTGACCTCATAACTGTGAGGTCAAGACCTGAGCTGAGTTCAAGAGTTGGATGTTCAACTGACTGAACCACCCAGGTGGCCCAAAAATAATTTTTTTTTTTAGAGTGTTTGAGGGTTAACAGAAGTGGAAGGAAAAGGCTATAGCTATTTGGCAAAACCAGAATTTTATGTTTTCAGGGAGCTTTACAGTGCCTTTCTGAAAATGCTTTTGTAATGTGGAGGATGAGCAAGCCCCTCCTGGAGGTCTCCCCTCTCTGATATTACTGTCTTCTTTGAAAAGTCTTTCTTTCCTTACCTCGTGAATTTGCTGCCATGGAAACCTCACCAAAGTATTAACCAAACCCTCTCTTGTACATTAGAGGCTCTTGGCCGTCCTCTTGTCTGTTTTCTTGATTTCAGTGGTACGCTACTTAAAACTATGTGCTGTATTTACTGCCTTCTCACTCCCCTGTCTTCATTTTTGACATAGTGAGTCTATGAGTCTATCCCAGGGAATTCCCTGAAATTGTTTGGTTAAATGGTCAGAGCCCTCCTAGTGGCCAAATTCAGGTATTTTTGACTTTTTTTTTCCCCCCATTAACTGAAGTACACTTCATCATTCTTGTTTTTCCCTTTTTCCCCAGCCTTCCTGGCTGGCTCTTCTTCATCAGCCCACCTTTCTCCTGTATGTGTTCCCTAGTCTAGTTCACTAGTGTGTGTTCCATAATCTAATTCCAGTTTCCTTTTCACAATGCTGTCCTGTAGGAGGAAGGATCTTACCCACTCCTGTTATTTTAACAACTGTCTATATGCTTGTGATTTGTTAAACTGTGTTTTTTTTTTTTTTATTCACATCTTTTTCTTAAGTTCTATTCTAGGCACTTATATCCAGGTTCTTAGTGGATATATCTATCTGTAAAAAAAAAAAAAGATATATCTATATGTTCTTTCCACATGAATCTAAAGAATGGATGCAAATTATTAAATGATCATAAATAGAACCCAAGGTAGGAAAATAGGCACTTACAGTTGCCTGTTAACCCTTGAGGTAACAGATCCTCTTGAGAATCTTAGGAAAATCAAGGACTTTCTCCCTAAAAAAAGTCCTCTCACACTTATTTTTGCCTCTAGTTTTGGAACTACCCAGAGCTAGTGTAGTTCAAGAACACAGATTTGGAGTAGGGCTTTCTGAAATAATGGTAATATGCATGGTGTGTTTTCCTAGATTAAGAAGATAGATTTTATAGATTTAGACGCTTACAACCAGACTGCATTGTATTCTAGCTTTGTTGAGCCACTAACCCAAAGTAATATATCAGCCTTACTTATGGAAGCTTGATCTTTAGAAGCAACTTTAAGAAAGAAAAGTCTGGAGCCCAAGCATGATAGTTTCTGATTAACTGTGGGTTGTGTGTTTCATAGTCCAAATGGGATCTACTTTACTTTGGTCAAAGGCCAGAGTGCTGCAGAGGTTTCAGAAAGTGTTTGCTACTGAGAATGTAGCCTGCTCTCCTGGGGACCAGAGTACACCCGAGGTTCTGAGGCTTGCTGATGGTCTGAGCATGCAAGAATGATAGAGGTACAAGAGATTTCAGGGGTTTTCTTCTAACAGAACCTTCCTTCTTCAGTGACTTGTAGGGCTAGTGATTTCTCAGTTCCAGAGTTATTCTTTTAATGGTGAGTGCTACTTTGATAGTCACCTTACTCTTTCCTGAGTTGAATCTCTTTCATCTCTTCTTTTGCCAATAGGCTACTTAATATTTCTTTTTTATAATGATGAGATCTAAGGAGATTTTGGCCATTCTTTTTTTAAACCGTTCTCTTGGCTTCTGTGTCTTCCGGTTTTTTTTTTTTTTTTTTTTGGTGATTTTTTTCCCCCATATCTCCTGGTACAACTTCTCAACTCCCCTCGTCCTCCTTTCTCACTCCTCAGTTATAGTCAGTTTCTTTGTGGCCTTGTTGCTTTCTTTGAAGGCTCATGATTGCAAATACTACCTATGAATTGATAATTCTTGAATCTTTAATTCTCATTTTTACTGCTTTCCAGCTACTAAAATGGCCCTCTGGTTCTTCCATCTTAATATATCCTAAAACAGGCTCACTTTATTTCCCTTAAATGGTTCTTACTGCTGTTTTACCTATCTTTGTGAATAGCAAACATAGCTTTCTCCTAGTCACAAATTTTTGTGTTATTTCAGATTCCATTTTCTCTCTTCACTGCTATTAATAACTATTCTTGTGAATTTCTTTCATTTTTTAAACTGTACCAAGAAATTTATTTGTTTCTATTTTATTTTTATTCTATTTTATTTTTAATATTGGTAGTTGAGGAGTTTAGGTATATACTTCCAAATATCTATTTTATTTTTAATATTGATAATTGAGGAGTTTAGTATATACCAAGTTTAGGTATAAGCCTTTCCATGAGGAAATAGGCTTTTTTTGTAAATTCTTAATTACATAAGGAACATTTATGTATATGCTCCCTCTAAACAATTTAGGCAAAACAGACACAGAGCAAGATGTTACAATGCCTTCTTCCTCCATTTTCCTCCTATCTCTAGAGCAGTGGTTTTCAACTGGGCATGATTTCACCCCTACCCTCTCTGCTTCCCCAGGAATATTTAGCAAGGTCTGAAGATAATTTTGACTGACTGAAGATAATTTGGTTATGACTGAGAGGGTTGAGGCTAGGGATAATGCTAAATGTCTACAGTATACAGAACAGACCCATGACAAAGTATTATTGATCCCAGGTGTCAGTAGGGCCAAGGTTGGGAAACCCTGCTCTAGAGATAATCACTATGTCTATGACTGTACTGTCTAATACTATAGACACTAGCCACATGAGGCTATTTAAATTGAAATGAATTCAAATTAAATTAAAAATGCAGTTCCTCAGTTATATTAACTACATTTTAAGTGTTCAGTAGCTATACGTGACTCCTAAATTGAATGGTAGATTATTATTATTATTCTATTATTTACAGGTTTTATTAAACAATATCTTAAACATATTTTATAAACAATGTATTTTACATAAATAGAATCACATCATACATGTCCTTCTACAGTTTATTTTTGTTAATATGTCTTGAAGATTTTTCTGTTCTTAGTATATATAACTAAATGTTGAAATTTAGTGGTCTTGTGAAATAATTCAATTTCATAATTCAGCAATATATTATTTTACTTTAAAAATATTTTATTTACTTATTCATGAGAGACAGAGAGAGAGAAGCAGAGACATAGACAGAGGGAGAAGCAGGCTCCCTATAGGGGAGTCTGATGGTGGGACTTGATCCCAGGACCCTGGGATCATGACCTGAGTCAAAGGTAGGCACTGAACTACTGAACCACCCAGGTGCCCCTGTAATTTTACTTTTTAGAAAGTTTGTGTTTGAATATCATGTATTCTTTTTCATCTAGTTTATTTTACTTGGTGTTATATGGGGGCTTTTTTGCACTTCAATTTTTAATTTTTTAAAAAGATTTTATTTATTTATTTGACAGAGAAACAGCACAAGCAGGGGGAGTGGCAAGCAGAGGGAGAGGGAAAAGCAGGCTCCCTGCTGAGAAAGGAACCCAGTGCAAGGCTTGATCCCTAGGATCCTAGGATCATGACCTGAGCTGAAGGCAGATGCTTCACTGGCTAAACTACCCAGGTGCCCCTTCTATTTTTAAATTTTAAACATTTACTTGTTTTTTAAATTCCAGTTTAATTAATGTACAATGTTATAGTCATTTCAGTGTACAATATTGTGGTTCAGCAATTCTGTACAGTATTCTGTCCTCATCACAGTAAGTGTACTCTTCATCTACTTCACCTATTTCACCCATTCCCTCACACCACTTCCTGTCTAGTAACCACAAGTTTGTTCTCTGCAGTTAAGAGTCTGTCTTTTGGTTTGTTTCCTTTTTTCTTTGATCGTTTGTTTTTGTTTCTTAAATTCCACATATGAGTGAGATCATATGGTATTCTTTTCTTTGACTTATTTCACTTAGTACTATACCCTCTAGATCCATCCATGTTGTTGCAATTTTATTTTATGGCTTAGTAATATCCTTTCGTTGTAAATATATACACCACATCTTTTTTTTTTTTCAAGATTTTGTTTATTTATTCATGAGAGAGAGAGAGGCAGGGATCCCTGGGTGGCGCAGCGGTTTAGCGCCTGCCTTTGGCCCAGGGCGCGATCCTGGAGACCCGGGATCGAATCCCACATCAGGCTCCTGGTGCATGGAGCCTGCTTCTCCCTCTGCCTGTGTCTCTGCCTCTCTCTCTTTCTCTGTGTGACTATCATAAATAAATAAAAATTAAAAAAAAAAAAAGAGAGAGAGGCAGAGGAAGAAGCAGGCTCCATGCAGGGAGCCTGATGTGGGACTTGATCCCGGGACTCCAGGATCACGCCCTGGGCTAAAGGCAGGTACTAAACCACTGAGCCACCCAGGGATCCCCCACACCACATCTTCTTTATCCATTCCTGTATCACTGGACACTTGGGTTGCCTCCCTATTTTGGCTATGGTAAATAACACTTCAATAAACATAGGGATCACATATCTTTTTGAATTTGTGTCTTTGTTTTCTTTGGTAAATGCAAAATAGAGTTTTTTGTTTTTTTAATCTGTAACTTCCATGCTAGTTTTTACAGTAGCTGCACTGATTTATATTCCCACCAAGAGGCAAGAAGTTTTCTTGTCCTCTTCATTGTCATCCTTACTTATTATTGTTCCTTGTGTTTTTGAGTTTAGCCATTCCGACAGGTGTGAGGTGATATATCTCATTGGGGTTTTTATTTGCATTTCTGGTAATGAGTGATATTGAGCATCTGTTCATGTGTCTTTTGGTCACCTGTATGTCTTCTTTGGAGAAATGTCCGTCATGTTCATGTCTGTTCTCTGGCCTATTTTTAATTGGATTACGTGTGTGTGTGTGTGTGTTTAAAGATTTTATTTATTTATTTGACAGAACACAAAGAGGGTGAGTGGCAGGGAGAGGGAGAAGCAGGCTTCCTACTGAGCAGGGAGCCTGATGCAGGGCTTGACCCCAGGATCCTGGGATCATGACCTGAGCTGAAGGCAGACGCTTAAGCTACTGAGGCCACCAAGGTGCCACTGGATTATTTGTTTCTTTGTGTGTGTTGTATAAGTTCTTTGTATCCAATAAATTGTTAGTATCTATATATATATTTACAAATATCTTCTCTCATTCACTAGGTTTTCTTTTTGTTTTGTTGATTGTTTCCTTCACTGTGCAGAAGCTTTTTATTTTGATGTAGTCCCAGTAGTTTATTTTTGCTTTTGTTTCCCTTGCCTCAGGAGACACATCCAGAAAAATGTAACTATGACTGATGTAAAAAAATTACTGCTTGTGTTCTTTTCTAGGATTTTTATGGTTTCAAGCCTCATGTTTAAATCTGTATTATATTCTTTTTGATGCTATTTTAATGGATTTGCTTTATTAGTTTTACTTTTATAATGTTCATTGTTAGTATATATAAATACAATTGATTTTTGTGTATTGGTCTCATATTCTGTGACTTTGCTTTTTTGATCAGTTCTAGTAGTTTTCTTGTGAATTTCTTAGATTCTTCTGTTTGTAGTCTGCAAATCACAGTTTTACGTTTTCCTTTCTAAGTTTTAAAAATGATCTTACTGCTTTGGCTACAATTTCCAGTACAGTGTTGAACAAAAGTGGCAAGTGTAGACATCCTTATATTGTCCCTGATCTTAGCAGGAAAGCATTCGGTACTTCACTATTAAATATGATAGTAAGCTGGGAGATATTCATACATATTGCTAAAGAGAAAATCACAGGCCCATGATGGAGTTACTTAGGTTAAGACCCCATGTCAACAAAACAAGACTTAGTATCTAACTGCACTAGTTTCAGGCTTCCGAAGTGTAATCTTTAATCACTAAAGATGAAATATCCTGGGCACTACTAGGAAATTTACTGATAGACCTCGTTCCATTCCTCTTAGAAGGGTGACCTTGAGTAAACAATGCATTCCTGCTCATAAATTCCTCTTTATGTTCCTGATCTTTGTCTTTAGAAATCTACCTTTTGTTTAACTTGGGTGGAATTCCCCTCTACTTGCTAGTTGGAATGCTGCCTGATTCATGAATCATTTTAAGAAGCCAATTAGATCTTTTTATTTTTTTTTTAAAGATTTTATTTATTTATTCATGAGAGACAGAGACACAGAGACACAGGCAGAGAGAGAAGCAGGCTCCATGCAGGGAACCTGACGAGGAACTTGATCCCAGGTTTCAAGGATCAAGTCGTGGGCCAAAGGCAGGTGCCAAACTGCTGAGCCACCCAGGCTGCCCCAGTTAGATCTTCAAATTTCTTGGTTAAATTTTTTTTGTTGTTGTTAAAAAAATTTTTTAATAGATTTGGTGACATCAGGATCCCAGGTGAACTTCTGATGGCGTTTAGATACAATGAGAAATGGGTGGCACTCCAAGAACTCCTTTGAGTTTATAGTCTGTCTTGCTACTTCTGAGGGCTATTGGTAAGTCCCTCTTAGTTTCAGCCCCATTCTATTTTTTGTTTGAGCTTTCCAGTCCAGCATTAACGATTCATTCTAGCTTGACAGAGGCAGCTCTAATGGAACATTAGTCCTTAGCCCTTGGTTTAGTCCTCATTCCACATTGGAGTCCTTTCCCCATTCCCCATTTGCAGTCCTCATTTCCTGGGGTTCGCTGATTTAGTCCATGTAGGGAATTGCTGGTGGTGCACGTGGGGTCTAATGTTGACTAATCTACAGTGACATATTTTAGTCAGTCCTGATGTGTTAAAGTGCACATTTGTCTGTCTTGTTTTGTGCCAATAAAGGCTATTGTTATCTGGGATCTTGGAAGGCAAAAAACCCTAAAAATTGGTGGGCATAGGTCAAGCATTTAAGAACTATTAGAATGCTTGCTTCCTAACTCAAAGACTTCTATGTTAAGATACTTGCTTACAGAACCACTGAGATTGATGATAAATCACCTACCGACCTCCGGAAAACATCAGGCACAGTATAATTATAAACATGCACAAACCCGCATTCAGCACCACATCCCTTTTAGGAATTAGTTCAGCTCCAAGAGACCCAAAGTCTTAGCTATTGGGATCCTTAAATTCTAGAGTCAAATCTACCACTTTCTAGCATACATGCTTATTTTGTGTCTAAAAACTATGGTACCAAGAACTGTGAATATCTTTGGAAATGGCAACATTTTACTAAAAACAGCCTAGTACTACAGTGGCCATAATGGGGAATATTCCAGTTAATACAAGATGGTTCACTGAGAAGTGCACTTGAAAGTAAGAATTCCTGAATTAAATGAACAGAATGGAATACCTCTTTTAATTGGAATGTAGAAACTTCCAAAAGGCTTCAAGATTCTAAAAAAGCTTCATGGAGAGATTCATTACAGAAGGCTAATGACTGATGTGACTGCTACTGCTCTTCTCTATTTTTCTTTACGAGTACTCAAATTTCACTAATTCTCTCAACTGAATTTCTACTCTGAGACACTGTTAAACAGTTACCTTTTAAAATTAAGTTACCTAAGGGTGTGTGAACTCCTTCAGATATCTTTCATCTCTTGGTCAAAGACAGTTAAGGAATTTTCTAAACCTCCAGAGGAAGCATAAAAGTTTTTTGAAGAATTTAGAGTCTTCATTGGGACTCATAGAAGTGCTGACAATACTGACTCATTTTTTTTTTCCAGTGAGAATAATGTTTATTGAGAATGGCTCATTACAAACAAAAGATATATATGTAAAAGATCTCTGCAATGCGAAAAATTCCTCTTATCCCTGGGTGGCTGGAATGAACAAAACCAAATATCCAGTGTGGCTTTGCTGGGCCCCCAGGGGTTATGGGTGCCATGCACTATGGGCAGAAGTTCCTGAAGTCTGGGTTTTGTCCAGCCTTGTTTTTGGCCCTCCATCTTGTTTGTGACCTTTCTTGCACCTGTGGGTTTTGGGCCCCTTATAAGTTAATATACACTCCTTAGAAATGCCCACTGAAGCTGGGATATAGGGAGACTTATTTTGGCCTCCCATAAATCTGTTAGAGATAACAGTCTTTCCCCTTCCTGACTGAGAGGTGGTGCCACAAGATCTAATTAAAGGTTAACTGTCAGGTTCATGCAAACTCTTTAAGGTGCATGTAGATGTTTTAATCTCACCACAGTGTTCTTCTGTGCATCCCCTTTCTCTATAAAATCTGTGGACTAAGGTTAAGATACTGCTGAGAATAACTGCACAAATGGATTGTCATCTGTCCAACTCCCCCTCTCAATGTTACCCTGTCTAAAACTCTTGTGTGAACTGTATGGAGTGGCTTGGTTTGTAGACCAGTTTCAAAGTACCTTCTCACTTTTGGGGGAGGTCCCTCCCTCACCTTCTAACAGGGCCTTTGACCCCTCCCTCACCTTCTAACAGGGCCTATGACCCCCAAGCTGCCAGATCTTTATCAGCTTGTGTACATATTGGCCAAACGTGGGGAAGCCCGAAAATGGATGCAGGAAGCAAGATAGCAAAACATCAGTGATATTTGAGATTCTCAACCAGAAAGGGGTCACAAAATAGCAAATGAAATTTTATAGTTCATTCCCATAGTTTTCCCTGCCCATACTGATTAACTGATTATTCAAGAATGCAA